TGGACACCTCCCCTACCCCACCTCTCTCTGAGCCCCCCAAACCTGGGTATCCGGAAAGACCCATCTCCTGCCTGGGCTGCCAGACACCAGGGTCCCTGGGGCATCCCAACCCCAGGCCAGCCCGTCACCCACGGAGGAGGGGGGCGTGTGTTGTCCAGGCTGTTGGTGTCTGGAGGGCCCCGGCATCGTGACGGGCTCTGTGGGCGGATCCCTGAGCGTGCCCTGCCGCTACAAGGACAAATACGCAGAACATGTCAAGTACTGGTGCAGATTCCCATGTTGGACTCCAGAGAGAAAGATCGTGGAGACCAGCAGGTCAGAGAGAGAAGGGAGGAGCGGCCGCGTGTCCATCAGGGACCATCCGGCCATCCTGACCTTCACAGTGACCGTGGAGAACCTCACGGAGGCTGATGCAGGAACGTACCTGTGTGGGATTGAGGTATCTTCATCATTAGACCTCATGCTCCGGGTCAAGGTGTCTGTGTCCCCAGGTGAGTCTAACCCCCGCCCTTATACTCACCCAGGATCTTCCAAGGAGGTGGCTGATGTGAGATGGGTGGTCCCCACTGTCCAGGTCACGGGGTCTGTGTTCCTGGGCGAGGCCCCCCACCCTGGCCTGAGCGCCAGGGCCCTGACCTGGACGGTGGGCCCATTGCACAGCAGGGGAGGGGTCGGGCCAGGGCTCGTGCGCACATGCTTGTGTGTGTGCACATGTGCTGCAGGCCTGTGTCTCGTGACTACGTGTGTGCATCAGTGTGTTGTTCTGCTCACACACGCACAAGCACATGTCCACACCCGGGCGTGTCAGGCCTGAAGCTTCCCTGCTGTGTGGGGACATCTCTGAGTCATGGGACAACCGCTTCCTGTCCTCACAGGGCCCTGGCACTCTGAGGGGGACCGCGAGTCTCCCCCTGGGCCTCTCACAGTCGTCCCTGTCACTCCCAGGCGGCCTGGGACCCGGGGTGCTGAGAAGACCTCACTGAGTCCTGGCAGTTGCTGGGGCGCCAGCCTCCCAGCCAGGACCTTGGGGTCTCTTATGGCTTTGGCTGAGAAGGAGCCCAGGCCTCTTGTGGACCTCTGACCCTGGGGGCCATCCTGCTCCCCCACATGCTCTGGCACCTGTGCCCACGGGGGAACTGAGAGAAGTGCCTGGACCTGCTCCCCTGGACACGGGAGATGGGGGATGAGAACACGGGCTCTGGGGTTTGTGGCCCCAAACCTGCATCCGGATGCAAATGTTGTCCTTGGAGAGAACCTGTGTTCCTGAGACCGGAACAGACCGCCTGTGCCTGGTCAGGGCCTCAGCTCTGCCCACCCTCCCGCCTCTGCCCCTCCTGCCACCTTAGATTCCCCCCTTGGAGGTCGCCCCAGTGTTTCTGCTTGAGGGGGAGGCGCTGACCCACTGACACAGGCCGGAGGGGAGGCCTGTCCGCTGGGCTCAGCGCGGGCCCTGCTCTCTGCGTCCCTCTGGGTCTTTCTTTCTGGTCATTCCCGCCCCAGAGAGGGCGCCCGGGGGCCACGGGCTGGGCTGACGGGGGGTGAGCGAAGAGTCTGAGGCTCACAGCTGGGAGCACAGAAGCCACGGAAGTTCCTGCTCCCAGCTCCTGAGGCTGAAACCCCGATCAGGTGTCAGCGAAGTGGGGGGCCTCTGGGGTGCAGACTTGTGCCATCACTGGAGGGAGGGGCCAGGGGTCCCCTGACCTCATATAAGGCTCTAAGCACTAATGAGGGGCACCCTCACAGCCTAAGCACCTCGTTCCTCACCCCATCCCCTGATGCCTTCCTGTCCCTCTGAAAACCACCACGCTGAGTGTTATATGATCAACTCCTGAGTGTGGGGCACCTACATGCAGACCCCAGCACGTCGGACGGGATTGGGGTCCCATCTCTGGGGAGCCCTGTGCATGACCCTGTTCGTGACCTCACAGCAGCCATCAGCCAGGGTGGCCCTTGTGCTTGGGTCAGCTCCTGCCCTCTGTCACCCTGTGTCCCGGCGGGGAGGGGAGGGGAGAGGCGGGCTGGGACTCCAGACTCTGAACCCCCCTGCTGAGCAGACGCACCTGGTGCACCTGGTGGGCCTCTGTGAGGCGGGAGCAGGTGCTGGTCAGGCCCGGAGGTGGCCACGGGGGTGGGTGTCAGGGGCCTCAGTGACCTGGATGGTGTGAGTCACAGGTGACGTGACGGGAGGTGCGACGGGAAGACACCAGCCTGAATTGTGCTTCTGCCTCAGCCCCAGGAGAACCCCCAGTCCTGTGGCCACCACAAGCACCCCCGGTTCTCAGGGGGCACCGTCAGCATCCAGCTCAACCACCGAGATCTGGCGAGAGACTCTGGGTCCCAGCCAGCACCCCAGGTAAGGGGACAGCATCCATCCAGGGCAGACCACGAGGCACTGACGTCCAGACAAGATGGGGGGCTGTGGTCGGTGCCTCCCTTCAGCCTGGACCCTCATTTATTTACCATCCCACACCTGGCCAAGGAGATCCTAATGGTTAATTAGTAGGCGCTCTTCTGTAGGTACAGCTGGGAACCCCAGATACAACCCTGCTCTGACGCAAGTGTGGTCCAGGGAAACCCCAGGAATGATCCACTCTGACCCCTTAGCGGGGGGCTGGGAGGAGTGCCCTCAGAAACCCCACACTGGGCTCTGGGCTTGCAGGGGGCAGGCAGGAATAGGAGGGGGAGCTGAGCTTCTTAAGAAATTACTGGGGAAAGGTGGGGGAGGGGACATTTGCATTGAGGACCTAAAGCAGTTGGGGGCCTGGCAGTCAGTTTTCTGCAAAGTGGGGTTCAAGCAGAGGGAACAGTGAGGACAAGTCCTGTCAAAGGAGCCTAGGACGCCCCCCAGCTAGGGCAGGAGGAGGAAGCCAGGTCAGTGGTCTGTGCTCCCTGTTCCCCCAACCCCAACACCTGTCAGAGGGAGGCCTCTGAGGGAGGTGAGAGCAGCACCCCAACTTGGAAGGGTTAATGATTCTCAGGCTGCTGGCAGGTGCCAAGTCCTCACTGTGGATAAGACCTTCCCAGGAAGCGCTGTGCCTGCACAGACATAACGCCCCCTATTACTGATGAGGTCAACCCAGATGGAGGATCCCCCAATGTGAGGACTTAGGTGGAACTCCTGATGATAGGTCCCACCTTTTTGTGGTCCCTGACATCATTCTAGTGGCCCTGCCCTGCCGTGCACAAGTGCTAGGTCTCAGGGAGATGGTGAGCAGGGGTCAGGGGGACTTTGTTTGGGGTCCTCAGCCCAGGGTTGTGTTTATGTGGTTGTTGTAGCCTCAGGACATGGGCACAGGGATGGAGGAATGGGGGCACCAGGCCTCCCCCGGGAGGCTGCTCATATCCTGTGTCCTGTCCCCCAAGGTGCCCCTGCTCCTGGGCATGCTCAGTGCCATCCTCTGGGTGCACCGGCCTCAGAGGCGCCCTGGGGGGGAGGCAGAGTCAGCCTGACTACGAGAACCAGGGACACTGATGCCTACGCGCCCCCCAGGACAGGCCCCGCTGGCGCGTGGACACGACCTCTGGCCAATAAATCCACCGTCACGGTCTGCGTGTCTGTTGGCGTCTCATGAACGTCTCCCGGCTTTTGTGTGTGTTGGGGGTGGGGCTCAGGTCCCTCATTGACACATGACCTCTGAGCTCTGGCACCCCCAAACCCGGGGTCCCCGATACCGTGTGCGGCATCATCAGAACCTCTACTCCCGCTGCAGTCCCGGGTCCTCGATTCATCTTCCTCACCCACGCCCAGGGCTGGTGTCCAGTGTGAGGTTCCCGGACAGCTGAGCCTCTGACAGAGCAGACTCGGGGCACCGGGGTGGCTGTGACCAGAGGAGCCGAGACCTCATGCTCACCCCTACGTCAGGGGCTGCTCTCATGAGGACAGAGACTGGGGCTCATGACCCACAGACGCTGCCATCGCCGACCCTGGGGTGCCAGCCAGGACCGGGGTTCACCTGCCAGGGTCTGTCCACATCCCATGTGGCCCAGGTGCTGGCTTCCTGCCGTACCTCGCATGGCAGAAGGGGAAAGGGGCTCCTTTATGTAGGCGCCAACCTTATCGCCTCAGCATTAGGGTCTCACGACTCCCGGAGCAGGCGCTGTCGGGTTAGAATGCGCGTCTGTGTTTGGTCTCAGGCCCCATCCTGCAGCTGCCCTCGGGATCCTGGACACTCACTTCACTGAGAGCAACAAAGATGTCTCTGTACGTCCATGAGGGGCTCTTGGAGAGCACCTAAGGGTGGAGCTGTGTCAGGGCACCCAACCAAGAATCGGGGTGACCTTCCAGTTTAGCCCCTGACTTCTGGGTGGGGGGAGAGACCAGTCACCAGTGACCAATGGTCAGTCAGTCATGGCCCCGCAATCAGCCTCCCAGGGGAGGGGACTGAGAGCTCGTCCAGGCTGGGGGTCCACTGTTACCCCCCGAGCTCCAGGAGGACAGAAGCCCCGCTCTGGCTCTGTTCATCGGGCTCCTAATTCCTGTCTCCGGCCTCCTTGCCGGGAGTCTGCGGCCCCAGAGGGAGCTGAGTCCTCTGAGAGCACCTGTGAGGGGGGGGCAGTGGGTCAGGCTCAGGGGACATGCCCCAGGGCAGGAAGGGATGGGCTGTTCCTCAAGAGGGGGAGGACCCTGAAGGCTGTGTCCCCCCAAGGTGAGGTCCAGTGGGTCTCCAGTCTCCCTTTGCCCGGCTCCCCTCTCTCCACGCCCCTCACCCAGCTGTGGGGTCCCACCTGGCAGAGACCCTGTCCCCCTCCTGGACAAAGCTGCCTCTGGGGTCCTTTCCTTTCCCATTTTCAGGAAGGTCTTGATTCTCACACCTGAGGTCAGCGCCCCAGAGAACCTCCCTCTGCCCTAATATGTCAAGAGGGAAGTCCCTGCAGATGTGGACACAGTGATGAGGGTGAAATTGAAAGGAGAGTCTCCGGGTCCCTGGACTCTGAAGCAGACTCAGGGTCCCTCCTGTGCTGGCCTCAAGGGCTTGAAGGGACGGCGCCTGTCAGCAGGGATGGGAGAGCAGCTGGCGTGTCTGCTCCCGGCCCTGGTCCTGCTCATGGTCCCAGGTGAGGGGGGCTGGGCCTGGGATGGAGGCAGAGGGGCTGGGGCAGGACACGGGGTCTGTGGGGCGGGGACGCACCAGGGGACAGGGCAGGGCCATCCTCCCTGCAGACTCTCCCTCCCTGGGGAGGACCCAGGGTCTCTCACAGGCCCTGCCGTGCTGGGACTGAGGGCACCGGCCAGCAGAGGCGCCCTGAGGCAGAGCCTGGTCCTGGCTGGGGGCCCAGGGTGTGGGGTCCCGAGGGCCCAGGCCTGCTCTCTCCTCAGGAGCAGGTCTCAGCGCAGGGCAGGCCGGTCAAGGAGGCCCAGGTTCTGAGGGCTGAAGGGGCTCCTGGACCTCAGCCCTAGGGGCTAGAGCCCAGGAGGGCACAGGCGGGGAGTGGCAGCCCAGGCTCTGGGGAGGCTCAGGGCACACGAGCCGTCCGAGTTTCTGCTCTGGAGGTGCCAAAGCCCAGAGCTGGTCCCTGGGGTGAGGGCAGCAAGCCAGGCTCCTACTGTCACAGGGTGGTGCCCAGGAAAAGGGGAAGTTCCAGGGTCCCTGCCCCACCCAGAGGAGGGGGGAGCTGAGCAGGGAGGAGGAGAAGCTGGAGAGGAGCCTGGGGAAGGAGGGAGCAGGATGGAGCCAGGAGGAGACCTGGAGGAGGCCCGGGGAGCAGAGAGACACGTGAAGAAACTGCGCTTGCTTCTTGTCCTGGGCTGGGTGACGCAGACGTGGGGGAGAGACCCGCGGGGAGGTGACAGTGGCAGCTTTTATCTTGATTTGATTTTGCTCTTTTCCTCCCAGACTTGTCTGGCTGTGCTGACCCTTTTCTGTGGGTCCCCGCTGGAAGGTGCTTTAGACTGTGGCAGCTCTCGGGCCTCACTCTGGGCCAATCCCCTTTGCGGGACTTTTACCCACGAGGGGACGGGCAACTTCGGGTGCTAATTTACAAACTCTATTCTCTGTCTTTTCTGTATTGCTTACTCATGTATTAAATTTCCTTCCCATGAAAGGTCTTATATAGTTTGTTTCAATGTGGCAGATGGCAGACCTATTTAGGCAGGCAGGTTTGGGGTTTCTGGGGTGCCCCCTCCCTGCCCTGTCACACTGATGGGGACCCCGGCAGGAGAGGGGAAGTGGTTGGTGGGGAGAGACATCAGAGTGTCTTTCTGGGCGGTGTCATGTCTGGGGGTGCTGGATGCTCAGACAGAAAGAAGGGGGGCCATGACCACAAGCCTCTGCCTCTGCTCATCCTCCTGGGCGCCCTGAGGACTCATTACCCCAGCTTTGGGGCAGAAAGTAGAGTCTCTTCTAGAAGGAGGTGGCAATGGGAAATAAAATGACCATTTATTTATTCATCCTGAACTTGATCATCACATATGCTGGGGGAAAAACTCTGAAAAGCAGACATGCATGTCAAAAATTCACTGATAAACCTCTTTATTATGTCACTTTTTAAGTTAGTATAGCTGAAGGGGCTACATGTGTGCATTATTCAAGGGCTGCATTATTCAACAACTGAGTGGCTTTAGTAATGGATGCTTAATGTCTTTAAAATAAATATAGTCTTTCATAAGATTCATTTTTATTTATTTATGCATATAAGAACTGGGGTGTAGGCCAGAGGTGCAGGGGGTGAGAGGATTCACCTGAGACAGAGTGGGGAGCAGAACAGGTGAATCTCCTGGAACACTGCTGAGGGGAGCAGTTGGCAAGAGAGGAGAGGTCTGCTGCCCTGTTTGGGTCAGCTCCTGGCCTGGGATTGAACTCTTGTCGCAGTGGCTGTGATAACACTGAGACTTAACCCCTTCGCTACCAGGGAGGCCTTACAATAAATACGATCTTAATTCAGGATCATATATACATTTTGTTTTGCTAACCTTTTGTCTCTCTAAAATTTCTTTGTGTGTGTGTTACAAATCTTAATTATTTCTCCTATGGCTGTTCCTAGGTGTTTAATACACCATAGGTTATTAGGATGGAGCTTATTTTTACTTGATTTTCTATATTTATATTAGACATACAGAGGAGTCGTTGAAATGCAAGTATGACTCTCACAATTGAATTCCATTATGAACTAAAATGGTTTTCATTTAAATCTTTCTCCAACTCTTGTCATTTTCTTTTTTTTTAAGATTTATTTATTTATATAAGAGTTGGGGTACAGGCCAGAGACACAGGAGGGTGAGAGGATTCACCAGAGACAGAGCAGGGAGCAGAACAGGCAGACAGACTGAAGACACTGCTGAGGGGAGCAGCAGACGAGGCAGGAGAGGTCTGCTGCCCCATGTGAGTATCTCCCTGACAGGCCAGGAATGGAACCCGGGCTGCAGAGGATGTGGACAGCTTCACAGTGTGGCGCTCAACCGCTGCGCCACCACAGAGGCCCCTGCTGTCATTTTCTTTTAATAAGCATAAGTTCTATGTTTTCCTTGTCTCGTGTTCTGGTCGTAGCTCCCGGAATCACCTGACAATAGTATTGGGAACCCTTGTTTGCTCATGATTTAGGCTGGAGTGACTGTAATATGTCCTTGCTCAGCACAACTCGGCTTTGGGGTTATTATATACCTGAAAGTTATTTTAATAGTGAAAAATAGCGCATCTCTAAAAAAGTGCGTGAAATACCAATGTCTATGATCAGCAATTTAATAGAGCATGCACCAGTTTCCACAATAATCTGGTACGTAAAGTTTGTGATCACTGACCTTGCAGAAAAGGAGGTTCTGTGTCATCACTAAGGCTTTTAAACCAGAGGGTGTGGGGCCTGCTCTGGGGCCTGGGCCAGGAGGGTGACCTGGGGGCTCCCCTGGGGCCAGAGGCGCTCCCTGCTCCCCTGCGAAGGTGAGGAGGTGACCTGGATGAGGCCCAAGAGCTGGTCCTGACACGCGTCTGCCAGCTGCGGTGCCCTTGGGCGAGGGCTGGGCATGGGGCAGATGCGGGAGCCTGTTGTCCAGGACCCACCTGGGAGAGGAGACTCCTGGTCCCCAATACCTGCCGTGAACCCCCCGGGTCAGTGACCATGAGGCTGTTATTGACGAGGAGGATCACAGGGAAGGACGGAGTGGGAGCCCACTCAGGGGTTGAGGAGAAATTTAAAGAGTTGCAGTGAAGGGCTACAAAAAAAAAAAAGGTGAGCACCAGGGTCTGTGTCCGTCCTCACAGGGCTATGTGAGCCCCAAAAAGCTGACTGTCACCAGCACCAGGGGTGCTCCAGTCACCTGAGCCTCTCTGGGGATTTCTCATCAGAGCCGGCAGGGCTGAGAGGACGAGGCAGGCATGGGTTCGAGGGTGCGGGTCCAGGCCTGCTCGGGGGCTACCCTGAGGGGCTGGGCCCGTCCTGTGGGCACGTCTGATGGTCAGTCCTGGCAGGTGGTCAGGGAGGGCTGGTAGCACTGACGGCAGCTGTGAGATGCTCGTGGCCACCCGCCCTCGTCCACCCCAGGCCACGGCGCGTCGCAGCTGTACTCACGCCTGTGAGCGCGGGTCAGAGGCTGCACCCCTGGGCAGGGCTCCCTGGGGCTCCGTAACTGTGAGATTTTTGAGCAGGTCCCGTTTAGTTGTGTCCGTTACTCTGAGTCCTTCAAGCAAAAGTCTGGACAGAATCGACAAGCACCTGGGATCCTAGATCTGCAGGGACGGGAGAGGACAGGAGGCACATCAGGGTCTCTCAGCTCCTGCTTGAGTCGTTCCCCCCCCCCCGATGGTAACAACATCTGCCAACACGGGGAGGCACGAAGGGGCAGCTGTGTCACGCCTGACCCTGCTCCTCTCACAAGCCCGCCTGGCTAGTTGCTTGCGATGGGAATTGGCAACTTTCAGTGGGGGACGTGGCCCCCATGTGACATGGACCCGCAGCGCATGTGGCCACTGGGCAGCAGTGCCTGGTCAGCACCACAGCTGTCCCTGCAGCTGGATTCCCAGGGAACCCCTAGAAGCTCAGAGCCAAGGGGGCACCGCCACTCCAGGGGTCTGGGGGCGTCAGTTGCACCTCCCGGGCCCTGGCGCGGGCCTGCCACAGGCCTCTTCTGGGGAGGCGGGTCCTCTGGGGTTTGCTTCCCACCAGCAGGAACAACACAGGGTTGGTGCAAAGGGGCCTCTCTGAGGATACAGATTCATTGACGATGGGGGGGTGGCATGTGAATCTGGGGGCTGTTATTGCTCAGGGCCAGCCTCTCTGTGTCTCTGACTCTGAGCTGTGTCTCAGGGGCTGTTCCCGTGGCTTTGCCCAGGGGAATGTAGAAGGACACAGGCCTCTCTCCTGGGGGTCATTCCCTCCATGGCTGTATCCACCTCCCCTCCCTGGGGCTGAGGGGGCAGGCACAGGGCAGGGGGCTGGGCCTGTGCACAGGTGGGGTCACAGGGGCATGGACGTGTGTTTTCCAGGCTCCTCTGCCGTCACGGGTCCAGGCTCAGTGAAGGGCTGGGAGCGGGGCTCGCTGACTGTGCAGTGTCGCTATGACCCAGGCTACGAGACCTACGTGAAGTGGTGGTGTCAAGGGGCTGCCTGGGGCAGCTGCAACATCCTTGTTAGAACCACCGGCTCGGAGCAGGAGGTGAAGAATGGCAGCGTGTCCATCAGGGACGATCAGAAGAACCGCACGATCACCGTGACCATGGAGGTGCTCACGCTGGGCGATGCGGACACTTACTGGTGTGGGGTTGAGAGAGACAGACTTCCTGACTTTGGGGCCCAAGTTAATGTGACCATTGGCCCAGGTGAGCGCCTGTGCGTGTGGCTGTGTCTCTGTGGGGCCTGCTCTGTCCTGGTCCCTCAGGTCCTCCCCAGGGGTCACTGTCACTCAGGGTGACTGTCCCAGAGGGGGGAGCTTCACCCATGGGCGCTGGGAGGGGGACTTCTCCCAGATGCTCAAGGCTCCAGGCCCTCCTGGACGGGAGGATCCTTTGTGGCTCACTGTCCCCCTCTGCACGGCTCAGCCCTTCTGTCCATGGTCAAGTGATGCCCTGGTCAGCAATGGGCCAAGGGACCCCCTTCCATGGGGCTTGAGATCACAATTCCTGCCAGTGACTCCAGGGACCTCCCTGTCCTTTCTGGATTTTCGGCTGAGACCTCATCGTGACTGTTCCTGCCCAACCTCCATGTCCAGGCAGGGGACAGCCCAGCACAGACCATGGCCTATTTCTGAAGCCTGGAATCATTGGGCCGCACCTCTGGGGCATGAAATCCAACCATGTGCCGTTTATGCCCCTGCTATAGGGTGTCCTTTTCAGAGACTTTCTAGAATTCAGACCCTGTGGGAGGGGCTGCCTTAAGGTCCCAACTCCCGAGTTTCAAGCAATGAATTTGTGCCTCCCCTCCTGCTGAGCACCCCCCACCCCCAAGGAACTGGTGGCAATAGGGGGAGCACCAGGGACAGCAGAGCCCCATCACCCATTGTACCTGGGAGGCAGGTCACGCTGTAAGCGCAGCAGTTCACGTCCTGTGGAATCCTGACCTTGTCCTGGGAAGGGCTGTCCCGTCACAGAATCTTCACCACTTGCCTAAAGTGAGGGTCTCCCTGGACATGGTGGGCTTGGGCTGGTCCTGACCTGAATCACATGCTGGTCTGTCCACCACGGGGCAGCCCTGCTTTGCTCTGTCCTCGCTGGAGGAGGAACAGGGGGCTCTGGGTGGCACTCAGGAGCAACAGGGCTGTTTATGGTTTGGGCACTCCAGCTGCTTGGGTCTGAGTGCACCTCTGCTCCCGGGGCTGCGGGATGCCCTCCTGCTCCACAGCCCACCTGCCCCCAGGTGAGTGAGTCTCTGGAGGCCTAGAGACAGGAGCAGTCCAGCTCCAGACCCTCCCCACATCTCCGGTCCAGGCTCCTCAACCAGGGCAGCCTTGGGACCCCCCAGGCTCAGAGAAATCACAGGGCTGGGATCAGGTGGTCAGGCAGAGTGTGTGTATCTGATTTGTGTGCCAAGCAGCCGCTGCAGTGTCCACCACCACGAGGACTACCACACCCACCACCACCACCCACCACACAGCACCAGTCTCCCCAGAAGAGGACAAAGGCCCCACAACTGTAACCAATAGCACGTAAGAAAGCTCTGTTGCTGCTGAGTCCTGTGCCTGCTGGGCTGAATCTCCTCTGGGGGCCCCTTGTAGGCCCAGGTCCCGGTTAGCACTTGACTCCCGACCCTCTGGGTCCTCTGAGGGGGAGGCTGAGGGGCTTCCCCTTCTCTCCCAGCTCAGGAGGCCAGACTTGAACCAGTTGAGGGTAGGGTGGTTCCTCTTGGGGGTCAGAGGCAGGTGTGTCCTGGCCCCTCTCCTACTTCTGGAATTGGGGCACCCCCGGTGTCCCCTGGCGTGTGACCCCTGCACCATCCATCCTGCTCCCGGGGCCTCTCCCTGCAGGTCCCTGGGCCTCTTTCCCTCTTATAAGGAACCAGTCACTGGACAGGGGCCCGCCCAGAGCGACCTCCTCACCTTGATGACACCGGCAAGGGTCTCCTGTCCAGGAGGTCACCCCGGATCTGAGTGCCCTGGACTAGGGGGGACACTATTCCACTAGCGCTGGGTGGGGGGCCAGGGAGGCTTCTCCATGCCTGTTCCCACACAACTCTGGGCCTTACTCACTCAACCTTCAGGTTTGCAAACATGTCTGCAGAGCCCAGCGGGGGCCTGCTCTGAACCCCTCCCCTTCACAGTTCTCCTCAGGGCCCACAAAGCTCTTCTATAAACCATGGAGGGTGCAGCAGGGGCATAGGGCAGGGCGCAGGGGAGGGAGTGTCGTGAATCCCAGGGGTGTGGTGCTTGGAGAGGACACAGGTGTCTCAGGCCTGGTGGGGACATGTCCATGTGAGGCCTCCCATGGCCTCTCCTCAGTTCCCCAGGGACACGTCCTGTGTCACCCTGTCTCTTGCGCCCTCTGTGTCAGATGCTCTGGATGTCCCCAAATACCCAGGAGCTGAGAGCGGCCTCCCCAGCTGAGGGAGAAGCGAGGGTGGCCCAGGAGGGGGTCCAGACACTGTGGGGGCAGGGTCCCAGGGTAGGGGGTGTGGGGTGGGGATCCAGGTGAGTAAGGTCACGGGCACCATGATGGTTATGGGCAGACAGGGAGGAGCAGGAAACATAGAGAACCGAAGGGCAGGGCCCCCATGGGCCGAGGCCACAGCAGAGCGGCCTCTCCAGGTGTGGGGCTGGGCAGGTCCTTTGAGCTGTGACCTGGATGTGCCCCTGACAGCCAGTTTACATGCAGCAGCGGTGGGGGGACCACGGCAGCAGCCAGGGTGACACGAACACAGAGCACGGCCTGTGTCCAGGCTAGATGAGGACCAGGTGGAGGAAAAGGCGGGGTTAGCACAGCAGGATGGGGCTTTGGGGCCTAGAGGATGGGGCAGGAGGAGCTGGAGGCTCAGCCTGGAGCAGCATGACTGTGGCCTGGGGGGCTGTCTTGGCTGAGGTCTGGGGGGCTCACAACCAATGGAGCCCAGGGCAGGTCCAGGGAGGGCTGCAGGGAGGGGGCCCTGGAGGCTGCTCACTTCCTGTGTCCTGTCCCCCCACAGCTCCCTGCTGGGCAGCGTCCACTTCCTGCTCCTGGTCTTCCTGAAGGTGCCCCTGCTCCTGGGCATGCTCAGTGCCGTCCTCTGGGTGCACCGGCCTCAGAGGCACCCTGGGGGGAGACAGAGTCAGCCTGACTACGAGAATCAGTCTGACTACGAGAATCAGTCTGACTACGAGCTCCTCCCTGTCTGCCCATAACCATCATGGTGCCGGTGAACTTACTCACCTAGATTCCCACTCCACACCCCCTATCCTGGGACCCCGCCCCCATAGTGTCTGGACCCACTCATGGGCCACCCTCTCTTCTCCCTCAGCAGGGACACTGATGCCTTTGAGCCCCCTGGGACAGGCCCTGCTGGCGGGTGGACACGACCTCTGGCCAATAAATCCACTGTCACGGTCCACGTGTCTGTTGGTGTCTTGTGAACGTCTCCCAGTATTTGTGTGTGTTGGGCCTTGGGCCCCTCATCGACACATGCCCTCTGAGCTCTGGTACCCCAAACTCGGGGTCCCTGATGCTGTGGGCGGCATCATCAGGACCTCGGGCTCCCGCTACAGTCCCAGGTCCTCGATTCATCTTCCTCACCTACGCCCAGGGCTGGTGTCCAGTGTGAGGTTCCCGGACAGCTGAGAGCAGACTCGGGGCACCGGGGCCGCTGCGACCAGAGGAGCTGAGACCTCACGCTCACCCCCACGTCGGGGGCTGCTGTCATGAGGACAGAGACTGGGGCTTATGACCCACAGACGCTGCCATTGCAGACCCCAGGGTGCCAGTCCAAGACCAGTGTGCACCTGCCAGGGTCTGCTGACACCCCAACTGGCCCAGGTGCTGGCTTCCTGCCGGAACTCGCATGGCAGGAGGGGGGAGGGGATCCTTTATGAAGGCGCCAACCTTATCGCGTCGGCTTTAGGGTCTCACTCTCGACTCCCGGAGCAGGTGCTGTCGGGTTAGAATGTGCGTCTGTGTTTGGTCTCAGGTGCCATCCTGCAGCTGCCCTCGGGATTCTGGACATTCACTTCACTGAGAGAAACAAAGATGTCTCTGTACCTTCATGAGGGGCTCTTGAAGAGCACCTAAGGGTGGAGCTGTGTCAGGGCAACCAACCAAGAATCGGGGTGACCTTCCAGTTTGGTCCCTGACTTCTGGGTTCGGGGAGGGACCAGTCACCAGTGACCAATAGTCAGTCAGTCATGGCCCCGCAGTCAGCCTCCGACCATCCCAGGGGAGGGGACTGAGAGCTCGTCCAGGCTGCGGGTCCACTGTTACCCCCTGAGCTCCAGGAGGACAGAAGCCCCGCTCTGGCTCTGTTCATCGGGCTCCTAATTCCTGTTTCCTGGGCTTTTTGCCGGGATTCTGCCGCCCCAGAGGGAGCTGAGTTCTCTGAGAGCACCTGTGAGGGGGGGGCAGTGGGTCAGGCTCAGGGGACATGCCCCAGGGCAGGAAGGGGGGGTCTCCTACATAGGGGGGGCTGAAGAGGGTTTGGGATGGGCTGTTCCTCAGGAGGGGGAAGGCCCTGAAGGCTGCGTTCCCCCAAGGTGAGGTCCAGTGGGTTTCCAGTCTCCCTTTGCCCAGCTCCCCTCTCTCCACGCCTGTCACCCAGCTGTGGGGTCCCTCCTGGCAGAGACCCTGTCCCCTCCTGGGCAAAAATGCCTCTGGGATCCTTTCCTTTCCCATCTCCATGAAGGTCTTGATTCTCACACCTGAGGTCAGCGCCCCAGAGAACCTCCCTCTGCCCTAATATGTCAAGAGGGAAGTCCCTGCAGATGTGGAGACAGTGATGAGGGTGAAACTGAAAGGAGCGTCTCCGGGTCCCTGGACTCTGAAGCAGACTCAGGGTCCCTCCTGTGCTGGCCTCAAGGGCTTGAAGGGACGGCGCCTGTCAGCAGGGATGGGAGAGTAGCTGGCGTGTCTGCTCCTGGCCCTGCTCCTGCTCGTGGCCCCAGGTGAGGGGGGCTGGGCCTGGGATGGAGGCAGAGGGGCTGGGGCAGGACACGGGGTCTGTGGGGCGGGGACACGCCAGGGGACAGGGCAGGGCCATCCTCCCTGCAGACTCTCCCTCCCTGGGGAGGACCCAGGGTCTCTCACAGGCCCTGCCGTGCTGGGACAGAGGGCACCGGCCAGCAGAGGCGCCCTGAGGGCAGAGCCTGGTCCTGGCTGGGGGCCCAGGGTGAGGCGTCCTGAGGGCCCAGGCCTGCTCTCTCCTCAGGAGCAGGTCTCAGCTCAGGGCAGGCCTGTCAAGGAGGCCCAGGCTCTGAGTGCTAAAGGGGCTCCCGGACCTCAGCCCCCTGGAGCTGGAGCCCAGGGGGCCACGGGCCGGAGGGCAACAGCCAGGGACTGGGGAGGCTCAGGGCACACGGGTGCCTGAGTTTCTGCTCTGGAGGCTCCAAAGCCCAGAGCTGGTCCCTGGGGTGAGGGCAGCAAACCAGGCTCCTACTGTCACAGGGTGGTGCCCAGGAAAGGGGAAGTTCCAGGGTCCCTGCCCCACCCAGAGGAGGGGGGAGCTGAGCAGAGAGGAGAAGCTGGAGAGGAGCCTGGGGAAGGAGGGAGCATGACGGAGCCAGGAGGAGACCTGGAGGAGGCCCGGGGAGCAGAGAGACACGTGAAGAAACTGCGCTTGCTTCTTGTCCTGGGCTGGGTGACGCAGACGTGGGGGAGAGACCCGCGGGGAGGTGACAGTGGCAGCTTTTATCTTGATTTGATTTTGCTCTTTTCCTCCCAGACTTGTCTGGCTGTGCTGACCCTTTTCTGTGGGTCCCCGCTGGAAGGTGCTTTAGACTGGCAGCTCTCGGGCCTCGCTCTGGGCCAATCCCCTTTGCGGGACTTTTACCCACGAGGGGACAGGCAACTTCGGGTGCTAATTTAGAAGCTCTATTCTTTGTTTTTCTGTATTGTTTACTCATGTATTAAATTTCCTTTCCATGAAACATCTTATACGTTTTGTTTTAATGTGGCAGATGTCAGACCTATTTAGAGCAGGCAGGTTTGGGGTTTCTGGGGTGCCTCCTCCCTGCCCTGTAACAGTGAGGGGGAGTCCGTGGGAAGAAGGGAAGTGGCTGGTGGGGTGAGCCATCAGAAGTGTCTATTTCTGGGCGGTGTCATGGCCAGGGGTGCTGGATGCTGAGACAGATAGAAGCTGGGGGGCCATGCCCACAAGCCTCTGCTGCTTCTCATCCTCCCTGGGGACCCTGAGGACCCACAACCCCAACTCTGGGGTAGAAAGCAGAGTCTCTTCTAGAAGGACGTGCAATGGGAAATGAAATGACCATTTATTTATTCATCCTGAAATTGATCATCACATAAGGGGAGAAAAAACTCTGAAAAGCAGACATGTATGCCCAAAAATTCACTGATAACCTCTTAATTATGTCACTTTTTAAAACAGTATAAGTAAAGGGGCTACGTGTGTGCATTATTCAAGAGGCTGCATTACTCAACAACTGAGTGGCTTTAGTAATGGATGTTTAATATCTTTAAAATAAATATAGTCTTTAGAGGACTAATTTTTATTTATTTATGCATATAACCACTGGGTTGTAGGCCAGAGGTGCAGGGGGTGAGAGGATTCACCAGAGACAGAGTGGGGAGAAAAACAGGTGGATCTACAGAAATATATTGCTAAGGGGAGTTCTTGGCGTGACAAGAGAGGTCTGCTGCACCAGGTGAGTCAGCTCCCTGGCTGGGGATTGAACTTGGGCTGCAGTGGCTGTGATAGACTACTAGGAGGCCTTAAAATAAATATAATCTTAATTCAGGATCATATATACGTCTTGTTTCGTTAAACCTTTTGTCTCTCTAAAATTTCTTTGTGTGTGTGTTATAAATCTTAATTATTCCTGCTATGACTATTCCTAGGTATTTAATACTCCACAGGTTGTTAGGATGGAGCTGGTTTTTACTTGAATTTCAATATTTATATTTGGCATACAGAGGAGTGGTTGAAATACAAAGACAAATCTCACTATTGAATTCAATTATGAACTAAAACGGTTTTAATTAAATCTTTCTCCACTGTTGTCATTTTCTTTTAATAAGCATAAGTGGTATATTTTTCCTTGTCTCACCCTCTGGTCGTAGCTCCCGGAAACACCTGACAATAGTATTGGGAACCCTGTTTGTTCAGGATTTAGGCTGGAGTGACTGTAATATGTCCTTGCTCAGCACAACTCGGCTTTGGGGTTATATATACCCACAAGTTATTTTAATAGTGGACAATAGAGCCTCTGTAAAACAGTGCATGAAACACCAGTGTCAATGACCAGCAATGTAGTAGCGCGCGTACCAGTCTCCACGATGACCTGGCATGTGAAGTGTGTGATCCCTGACCTTCCAGGAAAGGAGGTTCTGTGTCTTCACTAAGGCTTTAAAACCCGAGGCATGGGGCCTGCTCTGTGGCCTGGGCCAGGAGGGTGACTTAGGAGTTCCCCTAGGGCCAGAGGTGTGCCCTGCTCCCCTGAGAAGGTGAGGAGGTGACCCTGGATCAGGCCCGAGAGCCGGTCCTGACATGCGTCTGTCGTCTGCGGTGCCCTTGGGTGAGGGCTGGGCGTGGGGCAGACACGGGAGCCTGTTGACTGGGGGCCCACCTGGGAGAGGAGATGCCTGGTCCCCGATGCCCGCTGTGAACCCCCCGGGTCAGTGACCATGAGGTTGTTGTTGACGAGGAGGATCACAAGGAAGGACAGAGTGGGAGCCCACTCAGGGTTGAGGAAAAAATAAAAATTAAAGAATTACAGCCTCTGTAGCATGACTTCATTCCCTGGCCAGGGAGCTACCACATGGCGCAGCAGACCTCTCCTGTCTCCCCGCTGCTCCCCTCAGCAGTGTATGTCAGAAGATCTGCCTGTTCTGCTCCCCACTCTGTCTCTGGTGAATCCTCTCACCCCCTGCATCTCTAGCCTGTACTCCAGCTCTTGTATGTGCTAATATATAAATCTTAAATAGTTTCTGTTAAGGGATCCAAAAGAAAAAAAAAAGCCAGAACTGGGGCCTGTGAACATCCTCAAAAATCAGTCCTTTGATGGGGGGGCTACGTGAACCCCAAAGAGCTGACTGTCTCTCAGCTCTTGCTTGAGTCATTCCCACCGGGTGTAACAACATCTGCCAACACAGGGAGGCACAAAGGGGCAGCTGTGTCTCACCTGACCCTGCTCCTCACAAGCCTGCCTGGCTAGGATATTGCGATGGGAACTGGCAACATTCCGTGGAGGACGTGGCCCCCGTGTGACATGGACCCACAGTGTATGTGGCCACTGGGCAGCAGCGCCCGGTCAGCGCCACAGCTGTTCCCGCAGCTGGATTCTCAGGGAAGCCCTAGGAGCTAAGAGCCCCAGGGGCACCCCTACTCAGGAGTCTGGGGGCATCAGCTGCACCTCCAGGGTCCTGTTGCGGGCTGTGCACAGGCCTCTTTTGGGGAGGCGGGTCCTCCTGGATTTGTTCCCCACTAGCAGGAACAACACAGGGTTGGTGCAATGGGGCCTTGCTGGGGATACAGATTTACTGATGATGGTGGGGGTGGGGTGTGAATCTCGGGCCTGTTACTGCTCAGGGCCAGCCTCTCTGTGTCTCTGACTCTGAGCTGTGTCTCAGGTGCTGTTCCCAGGGCTTTGCCCAGTGGAATGTAGAAGGACACAGGCCTCTCTCCTGGGGGTCATTCCCTCCATGGCTGTGTCCACCTCCCCGCCCTGGGGCTGAGGGGGCAGGCGCAAGGCAGGAGGCTCGGCCTGCTCGCAGGTGGGGTCACAGGGGCATGGACATGTGTTTTCCAGGCTCCTCTGCCGTCACGGGTCCAGGCGCAGTGAAGGGCTGGGAGCGGGGCTCACTGACCGTGCAGTGTCGCTATGACCCAGGCTACGAGACCCACAAGAAGTGGTGGTGTCGAGGGGCTCCCTGGGGCAGCTGCAACATCCTTGTTAGAACCACCGGCTCGGAGCAGGAGGTGAAGAAGGGCTGCGTGTCCATCAGGGACCATCAGAAGAACCGCACGATCACCGTGACCATGGAGGCGCTCACGCTGGGCGATGCGGACACTTACTGGTGTGGGGTTGAGAGAGAAGGACATGACCTTGGGGCCCAAGTTAAAGTGACCGTTGACCCAGGTGAGCGCCTGTGCGTGTGGCTGTGTCTCTGCGGTGCCTGCTCTGTCCTGGTCCCTCAGGTCCTCCCCAGGGGTCACTGTCACTCAGGGTGACTGTCCCAGAGGGGGGAGCCTCACCCAGGGGCACTGGGAGGGGGGCTTTTCCCGGATGCTCAAGGCTCCAGGTGCCTCCTGGACGGGAGGATCCTTGTGGCTCACTGTCCCCCTCTGCCCGGCTCAGCCCCTCCATCCATGGTCACAGAGGTCAGGTGATGCCCTGGTTAGCTCATGGGCAAAAGACCCTCTTCATGGGGCTCGAGACCCCAATCCTGCCAGTGATTCCGGGGACCTCCCTGTTCCTTCTGGAGTTTGGGGCTGAGACCTCATCGTGACTATTTCCACCCAAGGTCTATGTCCAGGCAGTGGACAGCCCAGCACAGACCATGGCTCATTCCTGAAGCCTGGAAACATCTTCATAACCAATGGGCTGCATGTCTGGGGCCTGGAATCCAACCATGAACTATTTATGCCCCTGGACATAGGGTGTCCTTTCCAGTCTTTCTAGAAAGCAGACACCGGGGAGGGGGGGCCTGCTTCAGAGTCCGAGAGCCTGGAATTGAAGCAGTTAATCCTGGGACTCCCCTCCTGCTGAGTGCGCCCCCCCAGGGCACTGGTAGAAATGGGGGGAACACCAGGGTCAGCAGAGCCCCCACCACCCTGGGTACCTGGGAGGCAGGTCACGCTGCAGGTATAGCCGTTCACCGTCTCCTGGAATCCTGACCTCATCCTGGCAAGGGACGAATGTCACAGAAGGTTCACCACTTGCCCAGTGTGAGGGTCTCCCTGGACTGGGTCACACACTGATCTGCCAGCTAATGGCAGCCCTGCTTTGCTCTGTCCTCGCTGGAGGACGAGATGGCGGGGGTGGGGTGCGGGCAGGACTAGCATGAGCAGCAGGGCTATTTACAGTTCGGGGACTCCAGCTGCCCGACCCTGTGTATCCTGGTCCTCTGCTCCCGGGGCCTACAGGACGCCCTCCTGCTCCCACAGCCCCACCTGTCCCCAGGTTTGTGAGTCTGCTCGAGGCCCGGAGAAAGGAGAGGTCCCACTCTAGACCTCCCCCGGCCCTGCCACAGCCTTGCTCCGGGCTCCACAGGCCAGGGAAGCCCTGGACCCCAGGCCCAGAGGAGAGACCAGGACTGGGGGGAGGGCAGGTTGGCAGGCAGAGTTATTTATCTAATTTTGTGCCAAGCAGCCACTACAGTGTCCACCACCACCACATCCTCCTCCACAGCGCCAGTCACCCCAGACGAGGACGAAGGCTCCCCGACTATACCCGATAGCGGGTAAGCCAGGCCTGAGCTGCTGTGTCCTGTGCCTAGTGAGCTAAATCTCATTCTGGGGGTCTCCATGTAGCCCCAGATCCCGGCCGGCACTTGTCTCTGGACCCTCTGAGGGGGAGGCTGAGGGGCTTCCCCTTCTCTCCCAGCTCAGGGGCCAGATCCATAACCAGGTGAGGACAGGATGTCTCCTCCTGGGGTCAGAGGCAGGTGTGTCCTGGCCCCTCTCCTGCTTCTGGAGTTGAGGGAACCCCTGGAGTCCCCTGGCGTGTGGCCCCTCCATCCTGCTCCCAGGGCCTCTCCCTGCGGGTCCCTGGGCCTCTTTCCCTCTTATAAGGAACCAGTCACTGGACAGGGGCCCGCCCAGAGCGACCTCCTCACCTTGATGAACCTGCAAGGGTCTCCTGTCCAGGAGGTCATCCCAGGCTGATGGCCTGGACTGTGGGGGACACTATTCCGCCAGTGCTGGGTTGGGGGCCCAGGGAGGCTTCTCCACTCTTGTTCCCAAACAACTCTGGGCCTTACTCACTCAACCTTCATGTTTGCAAACATGTCTGCAGAGCCCAGCGGGCCATGCTCTGAACCCCTCCCCTTCACTGTTCTCTTCCCAGGGTCTGCAAAGCTGTTCATATAAACCCAAGGGGGTGTACAGAGGGGGGCATAGGGCAGGGCACTGGGGAAGGGGGCAGCGTGAAAGCCCAGGGGTGTGGTGCTTGGAGAGGACACAGGAGTCTCAGAGCAGGTGTCTCCTGTGTCATCCTGCCTCATGCGCATTTGGATCAGATGCTCTCGGATGTCCCCAAACACCCAGGAGCTGAGAGCGGCCTCCCTGGCTGAGGGAGAAGCAAGGGTGGCCCAGGAGGGTGTCCAGACACTGTGGGGGCGGGGTCCCAGGGTAGGGTGTGTGAGGTGGGGATCCAGGTGAGTAAGACCAGGGGCACCATGAGGAGCAGACAGGGAGGAGCAGGAACATGCAGACCTGAGGGGCAGGGCCCTGCCCATAGGCCAAGGCCACAGCAGAGCGGCCTCTCCAGGTGTGGCATCAGGCATGTCCTCTGAGCTGTGACCCGGATGTGCCGCTGACAGTTGGTTTACATGGAGCAGCAGCTGTGGGACCGCGGCAGCAGCCAGGGGCGACACTGACCAGAGGGCCCGGCCTGTGTCCAGGCTGGATGAGGACCATGCAGGGGGACAGTGGGGTGGCTCAGCAAGACGGGGCTATAAGGCCTAGCTGATGGGGCAGTAAAAGCTGGAGTCTCAGCCTAGAGCAGAAGAACCATGGCCTGGGGCGGGGGGCTGTCCTGGCTGAGGTCAGGGTCTCACAGCCTATGGGCCCAGGGATTCCTGGGGGGAGGGCGCCCTGGAGGCTGCTCACTTCCTGTGTCCTGTCCCCCCACAGCTCCCTGCTGGGCAGCGTCCACTTCCTGCTCCTGGTCTTCCTGAAGGTGCCCCTGCTCCTGGGCATGCTCAGTGCCGTCCTCTGGGTGCACCGGCCTCAGGCGGGCCATCGTGACACAGAGCCGGTGACCCCACGTTCATCAGTGTCTCCAGAGAGAAATCGTTTCAAATAGAAGAGCAGGCTCAGGGGCCCTGGGGGGGTTGGGGCCGCCTGACTAGACCCCCACTCCGGGAAGTACTCTGGCCGGGACGGCCTGTCCAGGCACATGAACTCTCGGGGAGAGGAGATGACTTTCACCCCAGACTGTGACACAGGCACTGTGCTCATGCTGCTCGCAGGAAACAACCCTGACTGCGGGGAGCCCTGGACTCTGGGGGACGGACATGGGCTCTTCCTGCTTTGACCATCAACCCCAACTTAAATCAAGAAAAAAGTCACCCTGACATTCAGTCCCCATTCAGTCCTCCAGGTTCTCTCCCCCACTCCCTGTACCCCCTTCCCCTCGCCTGGTGCCCACTATTCCAGGCCCTTCTCCACCAGATGCATTTTCTAGGACAAGAGCCAGGGCAGGTGGGCACAGGCTGCTCTGGAGCGGGCTTCCTCCCAGGTCCTGGTCTGGACATCAAAAAATCCCAGGATGCCACAGACATGATCCCCAACCCAGGGACCCTCACCCCTGAGGAATTCCCTGTCTAGAGCCGAGTGGGACGAGTGATTGACTGGAGTGACCTGGAGGGTGTCGTGCACCTGCATAAGTCGGTCGCCGCGCCCTTGCCAAGCCCTTTGCGTGTGGCCAGAGTCCTGTCCGCAGCTGATGAAGTGGACACACAACTGCAGCATCTCCCTGCTGGACCCTGGAGCTGGGTCTATACCCTCAGGGGTAGGCCGTGCCGCCGTCTATAGCCGCTCGCTGCCCCTCTGGAGAGGACTGTGCTTCTCCAGCCTGTGGGCTGTGGACGTCGGGCTTGGAGCCCTGCTCTGGCCGGTGACATGTGAGCCTAAATGACAAATGTCCCCTGAGCCAAGCTCCAGGAGTCTCCGCGAGGCCTCCCTGTCTGTTGCAGTGGGGCTGCTCCCATATCGAGCACACAAGTAACACGCTCAAGAAATGAGCCTCTGGAGTCCTTTAAACCAGGCAATGAGACCCTCACCCGTAACAGGGGTAACATTAATAAAACGGTACAGAGGGTTACAAGGTATGTGAGCAGTTAAAAGTGTGTCTATCTCTTCTTACATTAGAGCTATCTGCTGACTAAGCATCAAAAGTCCATTTCATAAATGTCCATTCATATCTTGCTGTGTTGGTAACGCAGAAGCAACATTGGCAGCTAAATTGTTTATAGTGTCAGTGTTTGCAGCAGCTTAAGTGACAGCGACAGCGGCAGCAGCTGCAGTGATGCCAAAATCACGTCTCCTCCTAGGTAGAACAGGGAAAAAAAAAAAAAAAAAAAGAAATGAGCCTCTGCCCATGGGTCTGGCACGCTGGGATCAGGGTGTTTGTCTCAGCGCGGCGCCTAGAAAAGGCTGGTGTCCGGCCTGCACACTGGGGCTGTGCGGGATGAGGGTGGCAGGCGGCTGACTGGGGAAGTGGGTAGCAGAGAGGCGGGTAACAGCCCTCAGGGCACGTCCCCTGGATGCTGGGGGGGTAGCTGGAGGCTCTGCCCTCAAAGAGCGATGGCGAGGGCAGGTGGAGAGGCTGACGGCCTGTCACTGGCAGATGACGGACATTGATAGGGACAGGTCTGCCCCTGACAAACCTGCCTGAGCCACCCTGCTCCATGGCTGCTGTGAAGACCTCTGGAGGCTAAAAGGAAGACACCTTTACCACCCCCAGTTCCTGCCTCCACCCGCCTCCCACACACACACACGGCCAGCTGCGCCCAGTGTGTGAGCGGAGAAGGAGCCGCTGCTTGGCCTCCCAGGAACATGAATCACGTGACTTGCCAAGTTGCACTTGGCTAAAAAGTGACAAAGTGAAACCGTCAACCACACCCTGCAAAGCACATTTGGGGGCAACAGTTTTCTTGAAGTTCTCCTTGAAGAGAAAATAATTTTCAGAAAGAATGTCATGAGGACTCGTGAAAATGAAGGCAAGAATATGACTATGAATCTTTGTACCTTTTCACGCACTGAAATCCCAGGTCCTGCGGGGACAGTCGGTCAGAAGCAAATGGAAGCTCGTCAGCTGGAAAATCCTTCCGCTCCCAGCGAGCCCCGTCCCTGGCCCGGTCAGCTCTGTGGGTGCTGAACACCCGGGGCAGGAAACTGCCCTCCACTGTGACAGGGAGGTGGTGAGTGTGTGCACGCGCACACAAGTGTACCACACAGAACTGCTGCACACACACGCAAGTGCACACGCATATAAGTGTATACATTCAGGTGCACACAACACACTCAAGTGCACACATACACAAGGGTACTCAATACACCCGTGTACACAGACACACAAGTTCGTACACACACGTGTGCACACACAACTTCAGACAAGATGAGTCCTCCTACTACAGCAAAAAATGAACCAGCAAGAAGTTTGTTTTCTGAAACGTCAGACGAGGAGAAGGTGTTTGGCGACAGAATTTCAGGGTTTCCTGCTGCAGGATCTGCGTTCCCGGGGGAGGGGCTCCCACTTGCCGCCCAGAGCTGGGGGCTCAGAAGACCAACCCTGCTCACTATCTGTACCACCCAGGGCCCAGACAGGGACGGCTTCAGGGGTTCACCCCAGTGCTAAGTGTGGGGATCAGCCACACTTAAAGGGTCCACACAGAGTCTCTGCGCCCTCATCGCCACCTTGCAACTCTTAACAATCTGGACCCAGAGCATTTTCGTTGGACGCTGGGCCCTGCCCGTAGCTGACCCTGTCCTGCCGGGAATGCGCTCTGGAGCAGGGAATGGATTTTCCTAACAGGGCAGACTAGCTGGGAAATCAGTGGAAATGAACCCAGACTGGGGAGGCATCGTGGCCTAGTGTGATGAGCAGGGCAGCTGCCTATGAGCTGGGGCAGAGCAAAAGGGCACAACCCTTCCCGGCCACAGAGACGGGAAGTGCAAGTTCAGATGTGTGTGTTCGGATGGACCTCAGTGAGGTTTTCAGTCCTGTCTCAGCTGACCCCGCGATGCCCCAGCTCCAGATTCCCGTGTTTTCTGCCTCTGAGAACAGACAGGAAGAGGCTGAAAGGGAAGTGGCAGAGCCAGCGAGGGCAGAAGAGAGAGCAAGGCCAGGCTGCAGGCTCAGTTCCTTGACCTGGAGGAGGGCCCGGGGGCACATGGCCCTGCGGCTGCCACAGCACCTACTGCTCTGTGCCCAGGTGGGTGGGCTGGGTCTGAACACAGGACACTGCTCCAGCAGATCCAGCTGAGAAAAAGGGTGGTGATGGGGTGGGAAGAGATGAAGCTGTAGGGAACCCCTCACATGCCCTGTTCCCCCCTGAGGGTAGGATAAGGACAAAGTGGTCAAATGTGTCCCAGAGAGAGCACTTTAGTGAAAGTCGCCACTTGGGTCATCTCCACCATCGGTATGAAGATCAGGAGCACCCCAGAGATGTGGGGGTGTCCACTGTATTACACGTTCCCCAGTTATCTCATCTTTATGACACTCCTTACTGAGAGACGGAGAATCAGAGCGTGTGAACAATTGATCAGATACAGCAAAGATTTGGCACAGCAAAGATTCAAGCCCAAAACTTTATTTCCAGGGTCAAGGATATTTTTTAAAGGACTGTCAATACCACTAAGCCTCCTGGTGACCATCCATTATGTGCTCCCAGACCCTATGCACCTGCATTGTGGGGCCCTGTGCCTCCCAGCAGGTGGGGACTGGTTTGGGGACACTATATGGAAGGCCCCTGGAAGGTCAGGCTGCTGAAGACCGAGATCCCACGAATGGTGCAGAAGAGGAAGCCCAAGTTTCTTTGTGCTGCCACAGAGGGCAGGGAGCTTGCTCTGGGGCCGGCAAGGACCAGGGGTCTGCCCAGGCTGGCTCAGGCCAGGGGCCTGGTGGAATAGCAGGGGGATGGGAGGTTCTGGCATAACTCAGTGTCCCTGACAAGCTTCCCCATTCAGCCCAGAGGCAGCAGCCCCCACAGCCTCAAGGATGGGCTCTGAGCTCTTGAAAGGTTAAGCCAAGTCAGGGTCCTGGCTGGTGAGAGATGTGGAAACAGCGCCCCGGAGCCTGAGCCCTGAACTGCAGCAATTGAGGGGTGCTCTGGGCTGCCCTCCCCGCTGCCTGCACCCCAGGCTGTGTCCCTCTGGGCAGCTTCTGCTCCTCGTCCTCAGGACACTGCCTTGGAGGGGTCATTCTCGTTGTTCTTGTGCCGTGCAGTGCTCGGGGTTTCTCTGGACTGGCCGGCTCAGGGTCCCTGGTGACGCCCTCCCGGGAGAGTGACCCGAGCGTCCTCAGACACCCCGGGTGCCCAGGCGGGGGCACGGGGCACATGGGGACAGGCAGACGGGCTTGGAGCCACACAGGTCCGGGGCCACTGGAGCCGCTTGCTGGGAAATACAGTGAGAAAAGGGAAGATGTTTACAGTGAAGAAGCCGAACAATCATGTTTTTCTTGGAATGCTAGAGTCAAGTTGATGGAAATGACCATCGCGATGCTCAGGGCGGGTGAGTTTGCTCCGTTCATCTGAACTCGGCGCGGGCGGCGCTGGCAGAAGGTCCTTGGGGCTCAGGAGTGTTTTCTGAGAAGATGCTGGGGGCGGGGGGCGCAGACGGCGAGGGAGGAGCAGGCGCGGGACGTGGAGCCGGGTCAGGCTCTGGGCGCGGCCCTGACCACAGCCGCCACCCCTGCCGGGCCCTGGGCTGTGGACGCGCCTCTGCGGGGTCTGCTCTGGCTGCGTCTCCCCTTGGGTCGGGGTTTGGGGCAAAGATGCTCGTGGGGTCAGGGCAGGAGACCCGGGCGGGGTTCTGTGTCTGGCCCATTGGCAGGTTGCTGGAGAGGAGAGAGGACAGAGGCGACTTGCTGCCCCGTAGACACAGACAGTGAACGACAAGGAAGAGTCGAGCAGCCTCTCCGAGGGGGAATTGCAGGTTTAGTTTGTAAATTCTCCCCGGGAGGGTAACACGGGGACAGGAAGTGCTGCCCGTCGTCACCACCGCTCAGGGCAAGTTCTGGAAGCGATAGTGCTTGGGAAGATGTTGGGGTTCAGATGATGGTCAGCGCGTGGGGTTCTGGGCCCCTCTGAGAGTGAGTGCAGCAGACGTTCCCACTGAGCGCCCGGCAAGGTCCCTGAGGAAGGAGACGCTGCACAGACATAATCCTCCCTGTCCCAGCTTTTGCCTGAAAACCTTTTCTGACCCCACCTCAGATTCCAGGAACTTTCCAGAGCCAGAAGGAGCTGGGTCCACGGGCAGAGCCCCTGGGCGCTGGAGTCAGGACAGGCATCCTGAGCCCATAGACCCCCCCTCCCAGGCCAGAGGGTGGACGGGTCTGGCCCCGCCCCCAGCACCCTCCAACTTGACCAAGGAAGTGACACAACAGAGTCAAGGCCACCCCACGAGGAGGAAGAGCCACTTGTCTGCTGTTCTGGGTGACAGTGAGACGGGGGCGGCCCCCCATCTGAGCACCGTGGCCCTGCCCTGTCATTGGGATAGAGGAGCCGGGGCACCTTCCTGGGTCTGTACCGTCCGAGCTGCTGCCTCCGAAGCCCCTGCCCTGACCAGCCCTGACCAGCCCTGACCAGGCTGGACCAGCCCCAGGCAGCTGGGTGGGGATTTGGGAAAGAAAAGGAAGCAGAGAGGTCAGAAAGCAGAAGTGGGGGCCAGGGATCTCTCCTGTGCCCGGAGGCCCAACCTTGGCCCTGTCCAGGGCCCGGAGCTGCTGCGGGCAACATCCGTGCTACAGAATGACCCGGAGGGACAGGATGGCCTGGCTGCCCCTGGCTCTGCTCCTTCTCCATGTCCCAGGTGAGGGCTGGGTCTGCGGGGAGGGGAGGGGCAGAGGAAGCCAGGGGGGTGAGCTCCCCATGGGAGGGGCACAGGGGAGAGGGAGACAAGCAGAGAAGCTTCCAGAACTGTCTAGCACTTGCCTCAGCAGTGACAGGAGGATTCAGTCCTTAAGCAGGCGAGCCTGGTCCACGGCACTGGACACTGGACACTGCACGGGACAGGGGCTGTGAGTCAGAACCTTTGTCACAGTGAGACATGTGCCTCGTGCATCTCACACACCACACACACATGCAGCACACCCACCACACACAGCCACATCACACCACATACACACATGCCCACACTACTGTACACAGTCACACCACACACATAATGCACATGCTCATATACTACATACATGTGTACAGGTAGACACACACGTCATCTACATAACATCTCTCACCACACACATAAACGCCCCCCACACACAACACACCACAGACAGACAAAGGTACATAGCACACACACCATTCACAGACACACACATACATACACACACACACCGTCAAGTGCAACTCAGTTTTCCCCAGCCCTGGTCCCTCTCGTCTCCATGGACCCCTCCCTGTCCCACCTCTCTCTGAGCCCCCAAACCCCCACACCTGGGTCACGGGAAAGGCCCATCTCCTGCCTGGGCCGCCAGACACCAGGGCCCTGGGAATCGGCACCCCAGGCCCAGCCCGGCCACCCACAGAGGAGAGGGCGTGTGTTTTCCAGGCTGTTGGTGTCTGGGCGGCCCCCGCATGGTGACGGGCTCCGTGGGCGGATCCCTGAGTGTGCAGTGTCACTACGAGGACAAATTCGCAGGACATGTCAAGTACTGGTGCAGAAACTCATGTTGGTCATCAGGGGGAAAGATCGTGGAGACCAGCAGGTCAGAGAGAGAGGGAGGAGAGGCTGCGTGTCCATCAGGGACCATCCGGCCATCCTGACCTTCACGGTGACCGTGGAGAACCTCACAGAGGCTGATGCAGGAACGTACTATTGTGGGGTTGACACACCTTTATCACCCGACCCCACGTTCCAGGTTGAGGTGTCTGTGTCCCCAGGTGAGTCCTAACCCCCACCCTTATACCAACCCCGGATCTTCCAAGGAGGTAGTTGATGTGAGATGGGTGTGTCAGGCCTGAGGCTTCCCGGCTGTGTGGGGGCATCGCTGATCAGGGGACAGGCTGCCTCCTCCCTCACAGGGCCCTGGCACCCTGAGAGGACCCCGAGTTTCCTCCTGGGTCTCTCACAGTCGTCCCTATGGGAGGCACTGGATCCCATCACCCCCAGGTGGCCCAGGCCCCGGGGCCCTGAGGAGACCTCACTGATCCTTGGGGCATCAACCTCCCAGCCAGGGTCTTGGGGTCTCCTGTAGCCTTGGGGGGCTGAGAAGGAGCCCAGGCCTCTTGTGGGCCTCTGTGACCCTGGGGACCATCCAGCACCCCCTCTTTTCTGGCATCTGTGCACACAGGGGAACCGAGAGAAGTGCCTGGAACTGCTCCCCTGGACACGGGAGATGGAGGATGAGAACACAGGCTCCGGGGTTTGTGGCCCCAAACCTGCACCCGGATGCAAATGTTCTCCTTGTCGAGAACCTGAGTCCCTGAGACCGGAACAGACTGTCTTTGCCCTGTCAGGGCCTCGGCTCTGCCCACCGACCCGCCTCTGCGCCTCCTGCCGCCTTACCTTCCCCCGTGGAGGTCACCGCAGTGTTTCTGCTTGAGGGGGAGGCGCTGACCCACTGACACGGGTGGAGGGGAGGCCGGTCTGCTGGGCTCAGCGCAGACCCTGCTATCTGGGTCCCCCTGTGTCCCCGCCCCAGAGAGGGCACCCAGGGACCACAGGCTGGGCTGACGGGGGCTGAGCGGACAGGCAGAGGCTCACAGCCGGGAGCACAGAAGCCACAGAAGTTCCTGCTCCCAGCTCCTGAGGCTGGGAACCCGATCAGGGGTCAGCAAAGTGGGGGGGGTGGTTCTGGGGTTGCAGACTTGTGCCATCACTGGGGGGAGGGGCCAGGGGTCCCCTGACCTCATATAAGGCTCTAAGCACTAATGAGGGGCACCCTCACGGCCTAAGCACCTCGTTCCTCACCCCATCCCCTGATGCCTTCCTGTCCCTCCGAAAACCACCACGCTGAGCTTATATGATCAACACATGAGTGTGGGGCACCTACATGCAGACCCCAGCACATAGGACGGGATTGGGGTCCCATCTCTGGGGAGCCCTGTGCATGACCCTGTTCGTGACCTCACAGCAGCCATCAGCCAGGGTGGCCCTTGTGCTTGGGTCAGCTCCTGCCCTCTGTCACCCTGTGTCCCGGCGGGGAGGGGAGGGGAGAGGCGGGCTGGGCCGGCAGACTCTGGACCCCCCTGCTGAGCAGGGTGACCCACCTGGCCAGGTGCCCTGGTGGGCCTCTGTGAAGCAGGAGCAGAAGCTGGACAGAACCAGAGGTGGCCACAGGGGTGTGTGTCAGGGGCCTCGGTGACCTTGACGGTGTGAGTCACAGGTGACGTGACAGGAGGCACGGGGGCAGGATGTCGGCCTGACTTGTGCTTCTGCCTCAGCCCCCAGGAGAACCCCCAGTCCTGTGGCCACCACAAGCACCCCCGGTTCTCAGGGGGCACCGTCAGCATCCAGCTCAACCACCGAGATCTGGCGAGAGACTCTGGGTCCCAGCCAGCACCCCGGGTAAGGGGACAGCATCCATCCAGGGCAGACCACGGGGCACTAACTTCCAGACAAGATGGGGGGCTGTGGTCGGTGCCTCCCTTCAGCCTGGACCCTCATTTATTTACCATCCCACACCTGGCCAAGGAGATCCTAATGGTTAATTAGTAGGTGCTCTTCTGTAGGTACAGCTGGGAACCCCAGACACAACCCTGCTCTGACGCAAGTGTGGTCCAGGGAAACCCCAGGAATGATCCACTCTGACCCCCTTAGCGGGGGGCTGGGAGGAGTGCCCTCAGAAACCCCACACTGGGCGCTGGGCTTGCAGGGGGCAGGCAGGAATAGGAGGGGGAGCTGAGCTTCTTAAGAGATTATTGGGGACAGGTGGGGGAGGGGACATTTGCACTGAGGACCTAAAGCAGTTGGGGGCCTGGCAGACAGTTTTCTGCAAAGTGGGGGTTCAGGCAGAGGGATCAGTGAGTGCAAGTCCTGTCAAAGGAGCCTAGGACACCCCCCAGCTAGGGCAGGAGGCGGAAGCCAGGTCAGTGGTCAGTGGTCTCAGCTGTCTGTTCCCCCAACCCCAACACCTGTCAGAGGGAGGCCTCTGAGGGAGGTGAGAGCAGCACCCCAACTTGGAAGGGTTGATGATTCTCAGGCTGCTGGCAGGTGCCAAGTCCTCACTGCGGATAACACAGTCCCATCCTCCCCGGGAAGCACTGGTGCCTGCACAGACATAACATCCCCTATTACTGATGAGGACACCCCAGATGGAGGAACCCCAATGTGAGGACTTAGGTGGAACTCCTGATGATAGGTCCCACCTGGGTCTGGGTCCGTGACATCATTCTAGTGGCCCTGCCCTGCCATGCACAAGTGCTAGGTCTCAGGGAGATGGTGAGCAGGGGTCAGGGGACTTTGTTTGGGGTCCTCAGCCCAGGGTTGTGTTTATGTGCTTGTTGTGGCCACAGGACATGGGCACAGGGATGGAGGAATGGGGGCACCAGGGCTCCCCCGAGGAGGCTGCTCATCTCCTGTGTCCTGTCCCCCCACAGCTCCCTGCTGGGCAGCGTCCACTTCCTGCTCCTGGTCTTCCTGAAGGTGCCCCTGCTCCTGGGCATGCTCAGTGCCGTCCTCTGGGTGCACCGGCCTCAGAGGCGCCCTGGGGGGAGGCAGAGTCAGCCTGACTACGAGAACAGGTGACACTGATGCCTCCGCGCCCCCCGGGACAGACCCCCCTGGTCGGTGGACACGACCTCTGGCCAATAAATCCACCGTCACGGTCTGCACGTCTGTTGGCGTCTCAAGAACGTCTCCCAGGTTTTGTGTGTGTTGGGGTTGGGGTTCAGGCCCCTCATTGACACATGACCTCTGAGCTCTGGCACCCCCGAACTTGGAGTCCCTGATACCGTGTGCGACATCACCAGAACCTCTACTCCCGCTGCAGTCCCGGGTCCTCGATTCATCTTCCTCGCCACGCCCAGGGCTGGTGTCCAGTGTGAGGTTCCCGGACAGCTGAGCCTCTGACAGAGCAGACTCAGGACACCCGGGCTGCCCCGACCAGAGTAGCCGAGACCTCACACTCTCCCCTACGTCGGCGGCTGCTCTCATGAGGACAGAGACTGGGGCCCACATATGCTGCCAACGCTGACACCGGGGTGCCAGTCCAGAACCGGGGTGCACCTGCCAGGGTCTGTCTACATCTCATGTGGCCCAGGTGCTGGCTTCCTACCGTACCTCCCATGGCAGAAGGGGGGAGGGGCTCCTTTATGAAGGCGCCAACCTTATCGCATGGGCATTAGGGTCTCACGACTCCCGGAGCAGGCGCTGTCGGGTTAGAATGCGCGTCTGTGTTTGGTCCCAGGCCCCATCCTGCATCTGCCCTCGGGATCCTGGACACTCACTTCACTGAGAGCAACAAAGATGTCTCTGTACCTCCATGAGGGGCTTTTGGAGAGCACCTAAGGGTAGAGCTGTGTCAGGGCAACCAACCAAGAATCGGGGTGACCTTCCAGTTTGGCCCCTGACTTCTGGGTGGGGGGAGGGACCAGTCACCAGTGACCAACAGTCAGTCAGTCATGGCCCCGCAATCAGCCTCTGAACATCCCAGGGGAGGGGACTGAGAGCTCGTCCAGGCTGGGGGGTCCACTGTTACCCCCCGGGCTCCAGGAGGACAGAAACCCCGCTCTGGCTCTGTTCATCTGCCTCCTAATTCCTGTCTCCGGCCTCCTTGCCGGGCGTCTGCCGCCCCAGAGGGAGCTGAGTTCTCTGAGAGCACCTGGGGGGGGGGGGGCAGTGGGTCAGGTTCAGGGGACATGCCCCAGGGCAGGAAGGAGGGGTCTCCTGCACTGGGGGTGCTGAAGAGGGTTTGGGATGGGCTGTTCCTCAGGAGGGGGAGGGCCCTGAAGGCTGTTTCCCCCAAGGTGAGGTCCAGTGGGTCTCCAGTCTCCCTTTGCCCGGCTCCCCTCTCTCCACGCCCCTCACCCAGCTGTGGGTTCCTACCTGGCAGAGACCCTGTCCCCCTCCTGGACAAAGCTGCCTCTGGGGTCCTTTCCTTTCCCATCTCCATGAAGTTCTTGATGCTCACACCTGAGGTCAGCGCCCCAGAGAACCTCCCTCTGCCCTAATATGTCAAGAGGGAAGTCCCTGCAGATGTGGAGACAGTGATGAGGGTGTAACTGAAAGGAGAGTCTCCAGGTCCCTGGACTCTGAAGCAGACTCAGGGTCCCTCCTGCGCTGGCCTCAAGGGCTTGAAGGGACGGCGCCTGTCAGCAGGGATGGGAGAGCAGCTGGCGTGTCTGCTCCCGGCCCTGCTCCTGCTCGTGGCCCCAGGTGAGGGGGGCTGGGCCTGGGATGGAGGCAGAGGGGCTGGGGCAGGACACGGGGTTGTGGGGCGGGGACGCGCCAGGGGACAGGGCAGGGCCACCCTCCCTGCAGACTCTCCCTCCCTGGGGAGGACCCAGGGTCTCTCACAGGCCCTGCCGTGCTGGGACAGAGGGCACCGGCCAGCAGAGGCGCCCTGAGGCAGAGCCTGGTCCTGGCTGGGGGCCCAGGGTGTGGGGTCCCGAGGGCCCAGGCCTGCTCTCTCCTCAGGAGCAGGTCTCAGCACAGGGCAGGCCTGTCAAGGAGGCCCAGGCTCTGAGGGCTGAAGGGGCTCTGGGACCTCAGCCCCCGCGGCTGGAGCCCAGGAGGGCACAGGCAGGGTAGCGGCAGCCCAGGCTCTGGGGAGGCTCAGGGCACACGTGGCATCCAAATTTCTGCTCTGGAGGCACCAAAGCCCAGCTGGTCCCTGGGGTGAGGGCACAAACCAGGCTCCTACTGTCACAGGGTGGTGCCCAGGAAAGGGAAGTTCCAGGGTCCCTGCCCCACCCAGAGGAGGGGGGAGCTGAGCTGGAGGAGGAGAAGCTGGAGAGGAACCTGGGGAAGGAGGGAGCAGGATGGAGCCAGGAGGAGACCTGGTGGAGGCCCAGGGAGCAGAGAGTCACGTGAAGAAACTGCGCTTGCTTCTTGTCCTGGGCTGGGTGACGCAGACGTGGGGGAGAGACCCGCGGGGAGGTGACAGTGGCAGCTTTTATCTTGATTTGATTTTGCTCTTTTCCTCCCAGACTTGTCTGGCTGTGCTGACCCTTTTCTGTGGGTCCCCGCAAGAAGGTGCTTTAGACTGTGGCAGCTCTCGGGCCTCACTCTGGGCCAATCCCCTTTGCGGGACTTTTACCCACGAGGGGACGGGCAACTTCGGGTGCTAATTTAGAAATTATATTCTTTGTTTTTCTATATTGTTTACTCATGTATTAAACTTCCTTTCCATGAAAGGTCTCATATGTTTTATCTCGATGTGGCAGATGGCAGAACCTATTTAGAGTGGGCATGTTGGGGTTTCTGGGGTGCCCCCTCCCTGCCCTGTAACATTGATGGGGACCCCGGCAGGAGAGGGGAAGTGGTTGGTGAGGTGAGACATCAGAAGTGTCTTTCTGGGCGGTGTCATGTCTGGGGGTGCTGGATGCTCAGACAGAAAGAAGGGGGGCCATGACCACAAGCCTCTGCCTGTGCTCATCCTCCTGGGCGCCCTGAGGACTCATTACCCCAGCTTTGGGGCAGAAAGTAGAGTCTCTTCTAGAAGGAGGTGGCAATGGGAAATAAAATGACCATTTATTTATTCATCCTGAACTTGATCATCACATATGCTGGGGGAAATACTCTGAAAAGCAGTAATGTATGTCAAAAATTCACTGATAAACTCTTTATTATGCCACTTTAAGTCAGTATAAGTAAAGGGGCTACATGTGTGCATTATTCAAGAGGCTGTGTTACTCAACAACTGAGTGGCTTTAGTAATGGATGCTTAATGTCTTTAAAATAAATATAGTCTTCCATAAGATTCATTTTTATTTATTTATGCATATAAGAACTGGGGTGTAGGCCAGAGGTGCAGGGGGTGAGAGGATTCACCTGAGACAGAGTGGGGAGCAGAACAGGTGAATCTCCTGGAACACTGCTGAGGGGAGCAGTTGGCAAGAGAGGAGAGGTCTGCTGCCCTGTTTGGGTCAGCTCCTGGCCTGGGATTGAACTCTTGTCGCAGTGGCTGTAATAACACTGAGACTTAACTCCTTGGCTACCAGGGAGACCTTAAAATAAATGTAATATTAATTCAGGATCATATATACATTTTGTTTTGCTAACCTTTTGTCTCTCTAAAATTTCTTTGTGTGTGTGTTACAAATCTTAATTATTTCTCCTATGGCTGTTCCTAGGTGTTTAATACACCATAGGTTATTAGGATGGAGCTTATTTTTACTTGATTTTCTATATTTATATTAGACATACAGAGGAGTCGTTGAAATGCAAGTATGACTCTCACAATTGAATTCCATTATGAACTAAAACGGTTTTAATTTAAATCTTTCTCCAACTCTTGTCATTTTCTTTTTTTTTTAAGATTTATTTATTTATATAAGATCTGGGGTACAGGCCAGAGACACAGGAGGGTGAGAGGATTCACCAGAGACAGAGCAGGGAGCAGAACAGCACACTGACTGAAGGCATTGCTGAGGGGAGCCGCAGACGAGGCAGGAGAGGTCTGCTGCCCCATGTGACTATCTCCCTGACAGGCCAGGAATGGAACCCGGGCTGCAGAGGATGTGGACAGCTTCACAGTGTGGCGCTCAACCGCTGCGCCACCACAGAGGCCCCTGCTGTCATTTTCTTTTAATAAGCATAAGTTTCATGTGTTTCCTAATCTCGTGTTCTGGTCGTAGCTCCTGGAATCACCTGACAATAGTATTGGGAACCCTTGTTTGCTCATGATTTAGGCTGGAGTGACTGTAATATGTCCTTGCTCAGCACAACTCGGCTTTGGGGTTATTATATCCCTAAAAGTTATTTTAATAGTGAAAAAATACAGCATCTCTAAAAAAGTGCATGAAAAACCAATGTCAATGATCAGCAGTTTAGTAGAGCGCGCACCAGTTTCCACAATGACCTGGCATGTGAAGTGTGTGATCACTGACCTTCCAGGAAAGGAGGTTCTGTGTCTTCACTAAGGCTTTAAAATCCGAGGGTGTGGGGCCTGCTCTGGGGCCTGGGCCAGGAGGGTGACCTGGGGGCTCCCCTGGGGCCAGAGGCGCTCCCTGCTCCCCTGAGAAGGTGAGGAGGTGACCTGGATCAGGCCTGAGAGCTGGTCCTGACACGCGACTGCCAGCCGCGGTGCCCTTGGGCAAGGGCTGGGCATGGGGCAGACGAGGGAGCCTGTTGTCCGGGGCCCACTTGGGAGAGGAGACGCCTGGTCCCCAATGCCCGCCGTGAACCCTCCGGGTCTGTGACCATGAGGCCGTTATTGACAAGGAGAATCTCAAGGAAGGACAGAGTGGGAGTCCACTCAGGGGTTGAGGAGAAATTAAAAAAGAGTTTCAGTGAAGGGCTACAAAAAAAAAGGTGAGCACTATGGTCTGTGTCCATCCTCATGGGGCGATGTGAACCCCAAAAAGCTGACTGTCACCAGCACCAAGGGCTGCTCCAGTGACCTGAGCCCCTCTGGGGATTTCTCATCAGACCCGGCGGGGTTGAGAGGACGAGGCAGGCGTGGGGTCGAGGGCGCGACTCCAGGCCTGCTCCGGGGCTGCCCTGAGGGGCTGGGCCCATCCTGTGGGTGCATCTCTCTGATGGTCAGTCCTGGCGGGTGGTCAGGGAGGGCTGGGAGCACTGACGGCAGCTGTGAGATGCTTGTGGCCACCCGCCCTCGTCCACCCCAGGCCACGGCGTGTCACAGCTGTACTCACGCCCGTGAGCGCGGGTCAGAGGCTGCACCCCTGGGCAGGGCTCCCTGGGGCTCCGTAATGTGGAGATTTTTGAGCAGGTCCCGTTTAGTTGTGTCTGTTACTCTGAGTCCTTCAAGCAAAAGTCTGGATGGAATCGCCAAGCACCTGGGGTCCTCCATCCACAGGGATGGGAGAGGACAAGGAGGCACGTCAGGGTCTCTCAGCTCTTGCTTAAGTCATTTCCACCAGGTGTAACTGCCAGCACGGGGAGGCACGAGGGGCAGCTGTGTCACGCCTGACTCTGCTCCTCTCACAAGCCCGCCTGGCTAGGAGCTTGCGATGGGAATTGGAAACATTCCGTGGGGGACGTGGCCCCCGTGTGACATGGACCTGCAGGGCGTGTGGCCACTGGGCGGCAGTGCCTGGTCAGCCCCACAGCTGTCCCCGCATCTGAATTCCCAGGGAATCCCTAGGAGGTCAGAGCCACAGGGCCACCCCCATTCTAGGGGTGCAGGGGCGTCAGCTGCACCTCCCAGGCCCTGGTGCGGGCTGGGCACAGACCTCTTCTGGGGAGACAGGTCCTCTGGGGTTTGCTCCCCACCGGCAGGAACAACACAGGGTTGCTCCCAAGGGGCCTCGCTGGGGACACAGATTCATTGATGATGGGGGGTGTGTGTGTGAATCTGGGGCCTGTCACTGCTCAGGGCCAGCCTCTCTGTGTCTCTGACTCTGAGCTGTGTCTCAGGTGCTGTTCCCGGGGCTTTGCCCAGTGGGATGTAGAAGGACACAGGCCTCTCTCCTGGGGTCATTCCCTCCATGGCTGTATCCAACCCCCTGCCCTGGGGCTGAGGGGGCAGGCGCAGGGCAGGAGGCTGGGCCTGTGTGTAGGTGGGGTCACAAGGGCATGGACGTGTGTTTTCCAGGCTCCTCTGCTGTCACGGGTCCAGGCACAGTGAAGGGCCAGGAGTGGGGCTCGCTGACCGTGTGGTGTGACTATGACCCAGGCTGGGAGACCTACGTGAAGTATTGGTGTCGAGGGGCTGCCTGGAGCAGCTGCAACACCCTTGTTAGAACCACCGGCTCGGAGCAGGAGGTGAAAAAAGGCCATGTGTCCATCAGGGACCATCAGAAGAACCGCACGTTCACTGTGACCATGGAGGCGCTCACGCGGGGCGATGCGGACACTTACTGGTGTGGGGTTGAGAGAGTCGGAGATGACCTTCGGGCCCAAGTTAATGTGACCGTTGACCCAGGTGAGCGCCTGTGCGTGTGGCTGTGTCTCTGCGGGGCCTGCTCTGTCCTGGTCCCTCAGGTCCTCCCCAGGGGTCACTGTCACTCAGGGTGACTGTCCCAGAGGGGGGAGCCTCACCCAGGGGTGCTGGAGGTGGGCTTCTCCCAGATGCTCAAGGCTCCAGGTCCCTCCTGTACGGGAGGATCCTTGTGGCTCACTGTCCCCCTCTGCCCGACTCAGCCCCTCTGTCCATGGTCACAGAGGTCAGGTCATGCCCTGGTCAGCACATGGGCAAAGGGACACCCTTCCATGGGGCTCAAGACCCCAATTCCTGCCAGTGATTCCGGGGACCTCCCTGTCCTTTCTGGAGTTTGGGGCTGAGACCTCATCATGACTGTTCCCTCCCAAGCTCCATGTCCAGGCAGGGGACAGCGCGGCACAGACCATGGCTCATTCCTAAGCCTGGAATCATTGGGCAGCTCCTCTGGGGCATGAAATCCAACGACGAGCCATTTATGCCCTTGCTATAGGGTGTCCTTTTCAGAGTCTTTCTAATTCAGTTGCTTCAAGGTCCCAACTCCTGAGTTTCAAGCAGTGAATTTGGGCCTCGCCTCCTGCTGAGCACCTCCCCCCAGGGCACTGGTGGCAATAGGGGGAGCACCAGAGTCAGCAGAGCCCCCAACACTCCTTGTACCTGGGAGGCAGGTCACGCTGTAAGCGCAGCCAGTCACCGTCCTGTGGAATCCTGACCTCATCCTGGGAAGGGCCGTTCCATCCCAGAAGCTTCACCACTTGCCCAAAGTGAGGGTCTCCCTGGACACGGTGGGCTTGGGCTGGTCCTGACCTGAGTCACATGCTGGTCTGTCCGCCACTGGGCAGCCCTGCTTTGCTCTGTCCTTGCTGGAGGAGGAACAGGGGGCTCTGGGTGGCACTCAGGAGCAGCAGGGCTGTTTATGGTTTGGGGACTCCAGCTGCTTGGGTCTGAGTGCACCTCTGCTCCTGGGGCCTGCGGGACACCCTCCTGCTCCACAGCTCATCTGCCTCCAGGTAAGTGAGTCTCTGGAGGCCTAGAGACAGGAGCAGTCCAGCTCCAGACCCTCCCCACATCCCTGGTCCAGGCTCCTCAACCAGGGCAGCCTTGGGACCCCCCAAGGTCCCCCTCAGAGCAATCACAGGGCTGGGATCAGGTGATCAAGCAGAGTGTGTGTATCTGATTTGTGTGCCAAGCAGCCGCTGCTGTGTCCACCACCCACCACACAGCACCAGTCTCCCCAGAAGAGGACAAAGGCCCCCCACCTATAACCACTAGCAGGTAAGAAAGCTGTTGCTGCTGAGTCCTGTGCCTGGTGGGCTGAAGGCCCTCTGGGGGCCCCTTGTAGGCCCAGGTCCCGGTCAGCTCTTGAATCCCGACCCTCTGGGTCCTTTGAGGGGGAGGGGGAGGGGCTTCCCCTTCTCTCCCAGCTCAGGAGGCCAGACTTGAAGCAGGTGAGGGCGGGGTGGCTCCTCTTGGGGGTCAGAGGCAGGTGTGTCCTGGCCCCTCTCCTGCTCCTGGAGTTGGGGCACCCCTGGAGTCCCCTGGCGTGTGGCCCCTGCACCGTCCATCCTGCTCCCGGAGCCTCTCCCTGCAGGTCCATGGGCCTCTTTCCCTCTTATAAGGAACCAGTCACTGGACAGGGGCCCGGCCAGAGCAACCTCCTCACCTTGATGACACCTGCAAGGGTCTCCTGTCAGGAGGTCACCCCCAGGTGTGGCCTGGACTGTGGGGGACACTAGTCCACCAGCATGGGGCGGGGGGCCAGGGAGGCTTCTCCACGCCTGTTCCCACACCACTCTGGGCCTTACTCACTCTACCTTCAGGTTTGCAAACATGTCTGCAGAGCCCAGCGGGGGCCTGCTCTGAACCCCTCCCCTTCACAGTTCTCCTCAGGGTCTGCGAAGCTCTTCTATAAATCATGGGGCGGGGGTGGGGTGCAGCGGGGGCGTAGGGCAGGGCGCAGGGGAAGAGGCAGCGTGAAACCCAGGGGTGTGGTGCTTGGAGAGGACACAGTGTCTCGGAGCAGGTGGGGACATGTCCATGTGGGGCCCCACGGCCTCTCCTCAGTTCCCTGGGGACACGTCCCGTGTCATCCTGCCTCACGAGCACTCGGGTCAGATGCTCTCGGATGTCCCCAAACACCCAGGAGCTGGGAGCGGCCTCCCTGGCTGAGGGAGAAGCGAGGGTGGCCCAGGAGGGGGTCCAGACACTGTGGGGGCGGGTTCCCAGGATAGGGGGTGTGGGGTGGGGATCCAGGTGAGTAAGGTCACGGGCACCATGATGGTTATGGGCAGACAGGGAGGAGCAGGAAACTTAGAGAACCGAGGGGCAGGGCCCCCATGGGCCGAGGCCACAGCAGAGCGGCCTCTCCAGGTGTGACAGGGCAGGTCCTCTGAGCTGTGACCTGGATGTGCCCCTGACAGCCGGTTTACATGCAGCAGCGGTGGGGGGACCGCAGCAGCAGCCAGGGTGACACTGACAAAGAGCCCGGCCTGTGTCCAGGCTGGATGAGGACCAGGCCGAGGGAAGGTAGGGTTGGCACAGCAGGTGGGGCTCTGGGGCCAAGCGGATGGGGCTGGAGACTCATCCTGGAGCAGCATGACCGTGGCCTGGGGGGGCTGTCCTGGCTGAGGTCGGGGGGTTCACAACCAATGGAGCCCAGGGCGGGTCCAGAGACGGTTGCAGGGAGGGGGCTCTGGAGGCTGCTCACTTCCTGTGTCCTGTCCCCCCACAGCTCCCTGCTGGGCAGCGTCCACTTCCTGCTCCTGGTCTTCCTGAAGGTGCCCCTGCTCCTGGGCATGCTCAGTGCCGTCCTCTGGGTGCACCAGCCTCAGAGGTGCCCTGGGAGGAGACAGAGTCAGCCTGACTACGAGAACTAGGGACACTGATGCCTCCGCGCCCCCCGGGACAGGCCCCGCTGGCGGGTGGACATGACCTCTGGCCAATAAATCCACCGTCACGGTCCACGTGTCTGTTGGTGTCTTGTGAACGTCTCCCAGTATTTGTGTGTGTTGGGCCTCGGGCCCCTCATCAACACATGCCCTCTGAGCTCTGGTACCCCTAAACTAGGGGTCCCCAATGCTGTGGGCGGTGTCATTAGTACCTCGGGCTCCCGCTACAGTCCCAGGTCCTCGATTCATCTTCCTCGCCCACGCCCAGTGCTGGTGCCCAGTGTGAGGTTCCCGGGCAAGTGAGAGCAGGCTTGTGGCACCAGGGCAGCTGCGACCAGAGGAGCCGAGACCTCACGCTCTCCCCCATGTGGGGGGCTGCTGTCACAAGGAGAGAGACTGGGGCTTATGACCCACAGACGCTGCCATTGCAGACCCCAGGGTGCCAGTCCAAGACCAGGGTGCACCTGCCAGGGTCTGCTGATACCCCAACTGGCCCCGGTGCTGGCTTCCTGCCGTAGCTCACATGGCAGGAGGGGTGAGGGGCTCCTTTATGAAGGTGCCAACCTTATTGCGTCGGCTTGAGGGTCTCACGACTCCCAGAGCAGGAGCTGGCGGGTTAGAATGAGCATCTGTGTTTGTTCTTAGGCCCCATCCTGCAGCTGCTCTCGGGATCCTGGACACTCACCTCATTGACAACCTTAGACGTCTTTGTACATGCATGAGGGGCTCGTGGAGAGCACCTAAGGGTGTTGCTGTGTCAGGACAACCAACCAAGAATCGGGGTTTAGTCCTGACTTCTTGGGGGGCACGGAGACCAGTCACCACTGACCAATAGTCAGTCAGTCATGGCCCCACAGTCAGCCTCCCAACATCCCAGGGGAGGGCACTGAGAGCTCGTCCAGGCTCGGGGGGCCACTGTTACCCCCCGAGCTCCAAGAGGACAGAAGCTCTGCTCTGGGGCTCTGTTCATCTGGCTCCTAAATCCCATCCCTGTCCTTTAAGCTTCGGTGTCTGGTGAGCAAACAGGTTTCCTCAGTTCTAGGAATCATTCTAGCAAGTTCATCAGACCAAAGAGAACCGTGGACACTCACCCGCAGCCAGGACATCAGAGGAGCGCTGACCACCTGGACTTGCAACCGGCATCTGGATGGCGAGGGGTGGGGGGCTGAGTCCTCACCTGCGTACCTGACAGGTCCCCCGAAGACGGTCAGGGTTGAGTCAGTTTTGATACCCGCAAGCGGAGGAGCTTAGCTTGGTGGGGTGAGGAAACCCACGCCCCGCACTGGAATTGGTGACTGGACTCTTAGGGGGACACAGTCAGACCAGGGCATTCCACCACCCCTGGCCCCCTAGAATCCACAAGCTTCTCATTCACAGAACACACTCATTCCATCCCATTGACCCCCCCCAAAGACTTAATGCATTCCAGTGTCACCTCAAAAGTCGAAATCACCTGAGGGCAAGACCCTCACAGCCTCGTCCTGAGGGCGTCGTCCTGCTGTGAACCTGAGGATCAGAAGGGCCCCGTGCTCCTCGGTCCCCCAGTGCCCCGGCAGGGGCGACGCTGTCCCAACAGCGAGAGAGAAAAGAAAAAGATTTTTGCTGACAGCCTCGGCCTGGCGTGTCCCCCAGTAGGTCATGGGTGGCGCCACCCTTTAATCACAGGCGGGGTAGCCCCCCCCCTCGGCTGGGCTGAGCAGGGGTCCCCCCTCCACGTCTGGGAGGGCTTCTCTGATATAGAAACACAGGTGAGATCCCCCCACTCCTGAAACTGAGGGTACAGCCTGAATGGCCCCGAATCTCCTGTGGGTCCTTCTCCCCTTCCTTTGAGAACGTGGCGTGTCCAACAGCTCTAGGTCCCCCCGTGAGTCTTCCAAGTTCAAGGACCCTCCTTCATCCCTTCCGCCTCCCCCCTGCCGCTCACACTAGCTGTTTTCCTTTGGGGGCGGCTGATTGCCCGGGCCCGCACCCCACAGCCGCCTCAGTGGCCCCACTGGCAAGGCTTGGCGTCATCTCCGGAGCAGTCTCCTGTTGAAACACGGGGGCACGGAATTTCCAGGCTAGGCCCTGCTTCCTCGGGGTACCGGCTCCATCTTGAAACCCGGTCTCTCCTCCGGTTGCTGAGCACCGGCGGGGCCGGGCCGCTCTCGCGCGGTCTCCCGCAGGCCCCTGGGCTGTTTCCAGGGCTTTCAGGCACCTGAGTGAAACCACGCCCTTCTCCCAGCTCCCCTCAGGGTGCCCTGACCCACCACAACCGCAATTCTTCCCGGGGAGCCCTCCCTCCCCTGCGGACTCTGGGTGCCCAGGAAGAAGCACCCGCCCCTGCTCCCCAAAACTGTTCTTCAGGAGTTTCAGCTACTGGCCTACAAGTCAGGGCCTTGATTAAATTACGTCAGGTCACCGTTAGGATTTGTCTTGCTGCTTGTGAGGAGAGCCCCCCACGCCCAGCCTCCTCTCTGCCCCTGCCCTGGCTTGTTGTATCCTCATCTGGTGTCAGGTCTGGCCCGTGATGCGAACATGGCACCGGTGCCCGCCGCCCGGGGCCTCTGTCCTCCATGTGGCACGTACAGTTTCTCATTTAATTCTCATGACACTTTATTTTTATCGAGGTGACACTGGTTTGCAACACTGTATGTGACTCAGAGGCACAGGATCACCGCCAAGGCACCCCTCGCCCCTCCAGAGTCCATCGGGAGCCTCGTAGCCGCAGCTCCGCAGCTGGATTCCTGGGGGTGGTCTCATCACAGCTCCGGTGGGGCCAATTTGTAGATCTTTACAGACTCAGGCGTATACATAGACTTTATCGACGCAAACACGGAGGCTCAGAAATGTTAAATAAATGGCCCAGGGTCACAGAGCTTGGAAGTGGTGCTTGGGGTGCGGGGCTGGGTCTGCCTGCCCCCCCAGTTGCTCTTTTATGCTCTGGGCTATGACTCAAGCCAAATGCATGGAGCCCAGGCGCTCACCAGACACCCATGCGTGTGCTTTGGGGGTGGGTGTCCCCGCCGCTGGGACGCACTGTTGTCATGGAGAACAATGTCTGGAGCTGACACCCACGCTGTGGCGCCCCGCGGGCCCTGCTAGGCGTGCCCCTCTCCTGCCTGGCAGCCTGCCCCGGGCCCTGCTTCCTCTTTACCACCTACCGCGACTCCCGTGCCCTGCGCCCTGCCCGGCCCTGCCCAGAAACGACACATCCTCCTGCTGAATAATTAAAGGCAGGAAACGCCCGCTCTGTACAAGGAAGCACAGGAGCAAGGACGAGGCGGTGTGGACGAGCGGGAGGTGCCCGCGGGCTCCGCGCAGCTCCAGGGTGGCCTGGGCCCGAGTGCTCTCAGGGCTCGGAGAGGCCGGCACCCCGGAAGGAGGATCATGTGGCTGCCCCCCGCTCTGCTTCTCCTCAGCCTCCCAGGTGAGTGTGGCCGGGCCCTCGGGGCGGGCAGCACAGGGCAGCGCAGAGCCCGCCAGGGACAAGGGGAGCCCCAGGGACAGGGGCCGTGGCTGCGGGCTCACTCAGCGACAGCGCGGGGGCCTACTCTGTGCGGGGCTCACCCCTAAAGTCGTGAAGGGGGCAGTAAACCAGGACTGGTCATGAGAAAGAGGACCCCAGATGCTCAGGGGGCGAGATGAACAGGCCGAGAGCACCCGAGGCAGGCCGTGAGGAGGCGTTGACAGAGGTGAGCTGGAACGGAGAGGGCTGGCTGGAAGCAGGCGGGGGCTCAGGGCGCACCCTGGTTTCTGCGGCCCTTGCTGGCCTGTTGACGATGGAGCCCCGAGATGACTCTGGGCCACTGACAGGGCGGAGGTGTCCCTGTGACCGTGGCCCATGCCTTGGCCACTAAACGGGCTCCAGCAGCCCAGAATTCCCACAGGACAGCAATTCACAAGGGCTGCACCTCCCCGGGGGGCCAGCTTTGCCCAGGTGCCCCCACCTGTTCCCTCTCTCTAATCCCAGGGTCCACCTTGCCTGGAGGCCAAGGAGAAGGGCCTGGGGAGGTGTGCTCACACTCACTCACACAACCCATTCGTACAGTGGGGGCCTGCACACACCCGCCTGCAGTCAAGGCCACTCCTGTCTACAGTCACCTCAACCTCGTACACACCCTCACACTCGCAGATACACACAGATGCACAAATGACACACTCGCACACACTTGTTCAGCCACACAGCCTCTCATTCACAGTCAGAGTCACACTCATTCTCACACACTTGCACACCCACGCACGTGCTCACACACACGCTCCTCCCCCAGACAAAGGCTGAGACCCTCCGTGCTGCAGGACTAGATGGGGGTCCCCACCTCCTCCAACTCCGTCATTCTATGGGGAGGGGTGAAGGGAATCGGGGTGCAGGCAAAGCAGACGCCCTGTCCTCACCGATAGCAGCTGTGGGTCCCTCCGGGCTCACTTCAGGGAAGTGAGGGAGGGAAAGTGGTGGGTGAAATCTGGAGGGCCCACACTCCAGAGGCTGCCACTTCTGCTGGGTGGGCGGATCCCCAACACCCCGAGGGGAAGTTGCACAGCAGGTGGAAGGACAGAGATGCCCGGCTCTTGGCGGTGGGGCAAGTGTTCCTGGGAATTTCAGAGCCAGCCTGGCCGTGGGGCATCAGCTGGACGCCCTGCCCCGTAGTGCAGAACCAGAGGGGCCAGCCCGCTCCACACCCCTGCCCAGGACACCTCCTTCTGAGCTCTCCCCGGCTCCCCGCTCCCCGGGGTCTGCAGCCTCAGCCATGCTCTCAGGCATTGAGAATCGACCCGAAGGGGGAAGTTTCCACGTCAGATTCACAGAAAAGAAAAATTGAGATTTAAACAGTCTTTGCTTTGAAATGCAGGATTTAGAAAGTTACCCCCCCACCCTAATCTCCGCGCTAAACGCTGTTAAAAGTTCAGAACACACATTTTCAGACTCCCTCCTCTGCCTGTGCTGTAGAAAAGGCATAAAAAATGGAATCCTATGCCCCGTTCGGAGCCTTTTATTAACCTAACAATGCTATTTTGGGGACCTATTTCTGTCACTGTCTTTTTTGTTCTTTTCTTTCCTACCACGTCATGGACCCCATTAGCCATTAACAGCACGTCAATATCATTTAGCTGGTGTCTGCATTCATGCCATGTGAGCACTGAGATCAGCATCCTCAGGCCTCGTTGTCCACGGGTGTGGGAATTGCAGTTAATCCTAGAAGGGAACTGATTACGCCCAGGGCCACGATTGAGAAACTACTTTTCAAGTGCAGCCATCAATTTATTGGCACCTATTGCTTGGAGACACAGGACTGGGGGCGAGAAGAAGAAAGAGCAAACACAAAATCTCTGTTCTTGGGACCAGGTGTTCCAGAAGGAGGACAGACATGGAGACAGCGGCGCGTCCCGGCACCCCAGAGCCAGGGTAGCAGAGGCCAGGAAGGCTACGCCTCAGGGGAGACCCAGAGGGTGACCTGAAGCTGGCTGGGGTCGGGGACGGGGCTCTCAGGGGAAGGAAAGACATGAGCCAAGACACAGCTGCCTGGGGGGTGCCTGGGCTGCGGGAGAGGCACGTGGGGTGATTTCAGGGCAAAGCAGGTGGCCAAGGGAGGAGCAGGAAGTGGCACTGAGGAGACACTGGCAGAGAGTGTAAGAAGCATGTTCAGCTTTTCCAATTGCTGGGAGGGGCTGCAGGAGGGATGCTGAGAGGTGTCCAGGTCCCCACAGCAAGCAGAGCACGAGCAGGGGACCGTTTAGGACCATCAACCTGGCAGGGATGTGCAGGGGTGATAGGGGAGGGCGTGTTGAGAAGCTGAGGACCCCTCCGGGTCCTGCTGCCACGATCCAGGCACCAGGAGAGCTCCTAGCCGCGGGCGGGCTCGGCTGACGCAGCCACCTCTGACGTCTGGCTTGGACACACATCCGGTCTCTCGACAGCCGACAAGGTGGAGGCCGAGCGGCCACAAACAAGTCCTATTTGCAAGCCAGGAAGCGAGGTTCAGAGCAATTGCATAAGGCGCCCAGGTTTCCCAACCCGTCGTGAGCTCACGGGCCCAGAGCTCACGGTCTCTGCGATGGGCGGCCTGCGCCAGGCAGCAGCCACCCGGGGGAGGTCTGCGCTGCCAGAGTGAAAGGTGGGCGTCGCATACATTTGGAAAGCAACTGTCTCAAGGGCGTGGTTTTTAAGCTTCTTTGGGCTTCGCTTTAAAACTTTTTTTAAAACCCGGTTGTTTGACGGGGTTGGCAGGTTGGGGAACAGAGGGGAGAGGGGGGACAGAGGTGATTGGGGGGGGCAGAGGGGAGAGAGTGAGCTGCACTCAAGGCTGGGGCGGCTGGTGCCGGCGCAAGTCCATTCTCCCTTGTCCTCTGGCCCCCATGACGTCACCAGTCCTAGCTGCTAGCTGTCAGTTGACTGGAAGCTTGTACTGAAGTGGGTGGTGCTTGGTCGTCTTCTCTACCCTACTGCAGCGCAGCAATGTAGTGACGTGACCGCGGGGCACGAGTGGCAGCGTCCTGCGGGTTACTTGTCAGGGGTCTGGCTGCCAACACCAGGGAGATGAGGACCAGGAGGCAGAGCCCTGTCACTGGGAGGCTGGGGAGGTTGGACCCGGGAGACAGGATACCAGTGGTCATTGGGGTCAGGGTGGGGAGATCCGGGACCCTAGTCCAGTCCCTGGATTTCAGTCTGCGGCCCTTTGAGTCCCTGGGCCCTTGGGTCTGGCTCAGGGGGCAGGAGTTATATCTTGGGGTTTTGTCTTCTAGGGTGTTTCTCCCTGCAGGGCCCCGGGTCTGTGAGAGGCAGGGAGCGGGGCTCGCTGACCGTGCAGTGTCGCTATAACCCACTCTGGGAGACCTACGTGAAGTATTGGTGTCGAGGGGCTCACTGGGACAGCTGCAACATCCTTGTTAGAACCACTGGCTCGGAGCAGGAGGTGAAGAAGGGCAACGTGTCCATCAGGGACCATCAGAAGGACCGTGTGTTCACCGTGACCATGGAGGCGCTCACGCGGGGCGATGCGGGCACTTACTGGTGTGGGATTGAGAAAACCGGACTTGACCCTTGGGCCCAAGTTGAAGTGACCGTTGGCCCAGGTGGGCGCCTTCTCGTCTGCACGGGGAGGCCCTGAGGCTGTGGGGCCTCCAGCAGAAGGGTTATGGGCCCGCCAGCAGGGGCCTGAGTGGAAGAACGCGAGCGAGCCGGCCAGGGCCAGGTGACGGAGGGTGGAAAGAGCGAGGAGGAGCAGCCCCTGCCTGCCCCATCACAGTCCTCAGGTCCCTGAGGAGCCTGGCTAACACACAGTAGGGCTGGTGGGGACACGGACCCCCACGTCCACGACCCACGGCCCAGCTCTGCTCGCTTGGGGGCTGAACAGCCCTGGCAGCCCCACATTCTCTGGTTGGAGGTCCAGAAGGCCTCAGGCAGCTGCAGAGGGCCCAGGGCACCACCCCAGGGAGTGGTCAGTCTCTGAGGCCCCACTCCTGACCAGCCGCTATGCAGAGGGGGTCCCACTGCTGAACCCCAGGACCGTGGCCAACCCAGAGTGGCTCTGGGTATTTTACAGCCCCTCCCCTCTCAGATCGCCACCCTCCTCCTCTACTCTGACTGCATGAGAGTGACCAAGGGTAAGAGGGACCGAGAGGGAGCTCGGGTGACAGAGGACGCATCCAGGAGGAAGGAAGGCTTTGACCATAAAGTCAACATCTGCCTGCCCTGGGGTCTCTCCTGTCCCTTGATCTCCTGGAGCATTTGGGGTCTTCCTGGTGGCACAGCCCTGCTGCTGTGGCCCCCCTCCTCCTGTGCCCAGCATCAAGGGGCCTGGTCACTCCTGAGCCCAAATGGTGGTGTGCAAATGGCAGCACTGCCTGTAGAACAAACCTGCTTGTGGGAACCAGAGAGAGGCCTGGGGCTGCTGCGGGCTGGTGTTCAGAGAGGGCCGCCCAGCAGAATGTCCCCCAGTTGCCCAGCAGGGGAAACCACCATCTGGGCACAGAAAGGGGATTAAGACTTGGGAGCAGGGTCCCAGACAGGCTAAAAATGTACCTTATGGGGAGCTTCAGGGAGACAGGCATTGCGGGTCTTGGGGGAGAGACTTGAGGGTGCACCGAACTGTAATGTGATCAGGGGCCTCCCCAGAGGATCTGTGTGGCTGCAGTCACAGGGGCTCAGCCAGGAGCTGCCCAGCATTACCAAAGGCCTTGACCTTGCAGAAAAGCGTTTGCCAGGCTTAGGGTCAGGTCAAAGGAGGTCGTGCGTCCTCTGTGCCCAGCTGGTCTGGGGACTCCATGCCCAAGCCTCCCATCACAACTTGCCTTCTTAGCATCTCCTGAAGATGTTTCCATCATCATAGTCCCTGTTTGACCGGCTGTGCCCTGTTATCCACCAGCCCTCAGGAGTCCTTCCCCCACATAACACCCCAATAACTAGGTGTCTAATTTCTGCAGCCGCCATTCTCAAGCTCTGCTCAGGCACTGCTTGAGCAGAAAGGACCTAGGATTACCCCTCTACCCCCACCCCACAAATAGCCCCACTTAGCGGGGAGCGAGGAAGGAGCATGCAAAGGACTCCCCAAGTAAGCTACGGTGCTCACTCCTGTCCAGCGCTTGCTTCGTGCTCCCCCTGGACATGGTGGATGAAGTGGCCGTGCTGTGGCCCAGAGGACTCCCACTTGAATGTGAGGGTCATATCCAAAAGGTCGAAGCTTCCCAATCCAGGGGGAGGAGGTCTAGCAGGGTGGGAGTGGCAAGGTGAGCTGCACCCCCACCCAGGGTCCTTAACCTGCGGTTGTTTGCTCGTGTCTAGAGGGGACACTAATGAACACACAGTTCGAGATAATTGGCAACAACCACACAGAGGTCCCCGGCTCCTACAGCAGGTGAGTGGCTGCGGCCCTTTTTCCTGCCTCTACCTGGGGCCTCTCATGGGGCAGCCAGGCCTGGGCACCCTCCTGCACCTGTGGGTCACCTGATGCTGGCATCAAGGTCTCAAGCGCACCCCTACTGGTGTCAGGCCCCGCCAGCCCTCACCCGCAGTGCTTTACAGAGCTGTGAACAGCTCCTTCCCCTCGCTCCTGGTGGACCAAAAAACACCGATGCCCTAGGGGGTGCCAATGGGGAGATAGGATGTGAATCCCCAGGACCCCCATCAACTCAAGGCATCAGGCCTTGGCGGGGGTGGCTGAGCATCCGAGCTGGCTCTGTGGGCTCGAGCAGCGAGGACACCGCAGACAGACAGCCTGGCACAGGTCACCTGCAGCCACCTCTAGGGGGCCGGGAGGTACTTTGGGCAGAGGGAGTCCCAGGGGTGACCAAGCGGTTGGGCCCTGGAGAGGCTTGTGGGGTCTTTGGAACAGGGCTGCTGGGCCAGGGTCACAGGCTGCTCTGTGCTGACCGCCGGCCCCACCAAGTCAAGGCTCTGACCGCTCTGTCCCCCTGGCAGGACCCACTACATGCTCCTGGCGTTCGTGAAGGTGCCGATCCTGCTCCTTGTGGTGGGAGCCGTGCTCTGGCTGAAGCCGCCTCGGCAGGCCCTGAGCAGCGGTGCGGGGAGCCCGTCGCTGCCACCTTGTCCTCTGGACGTCTGACCCAGACCCGGCTCCGCAGAGAGACAGATGCAAAGAAACTCCCAACCCTGGACCCGGTTCCAGCGGAGACAGGGCTCTGGAGCCTGGGAGGAGGCAGCGTCTGAGGCCAGGCCCTGGGGCTGCCCAGCACCCTCCCTGCCCTGTGAGCTCAGGGACACAGCCAGGGGCCGTCCATCAAGTCCCAACATCTCCTCCTGGAGGCCCACCACCTCGTTCCCCCTGCTGTGGGTAGCAAGCCTTTGGGGCCACACACACCCCCCACCAGGCTTGGGCCCATGGTCCTGAGCTGTTGGGTGGAGCCCGAGTGTGGACGGCCGTGTCCCCACTGTGCTGGAGGAATCAGGGCCCAGGGCCAGGACCCCAGCACAGAGACAGCAGCAGGGGGGCGGGGGGCGGTGGGGGAGTGAAGCAGAGGGCTGGCGACAGACACAAGGAAAGACAGAGAGAGACGCAGAAGGCGCAGCCGGCCCAGTCCCTGGTTCCCGCCGTTCCTGGGAGCAGCTCCCAGCACACTCCTCTCCAGCTGCTGGAGATGTCGCTAAAGCCCGTGCTTCCTAAGCTAGCTGGGTTGGTTTTGATGGTTCGTGCTCATGAGGGCCCTGACTGAGGCACACACCCAGGAGGGTGATTATGGGGTGAGCTCCCGTACTGGGGTGAGAGGTCAGCCAGTGCTGGGCTTGCTCCTACCTGCCCCCTCTTCCCTGCCCACCCCCCTCTCCACCCCTGCCCACCCCTTCTCCCCACCTCTTCTACACCTCCTCTTTCTCCCCCCCTCCTTCTCGGGCAGCCCCCCAAGCTCCCTGCCCCTACCTCTCAGCATGGGCTTCCTGGGGGCTGTAATTTGGGGTCTGGCCTTCACTTCTCCCACTGCTCAGCTCCCCTCCCGCCCCCCGGGGCTGCTGGGCCTCAGAAACTGCCTCAAAGTAGGGAGGGCATCATGGAAAGGTCTGAGGGAAATGACACCTCTTGGAAATAATGTGGTTTAAATAGGTTCGTTAGAACAGTCTCGGGAGCTACGACCCTCTCTGAGCCGAAGTTGTGTGATCGTCTCCATCATGAAAACGTTTGCGCAAGTGACCTGCTCCTGCGGGCGCCTCCCTCGGGCCACCTTGGGCTCAGTCGCCTGGGGACGGGGTCACGCGAGGAGAAGCAGTCCCACTTGAGATGTGACCCCCACACACCGCCCCCCGGCTTTACTGGGTATCACTGACAAATAAAATTGTGTGTTTTCAAAGGGAACAATGTGATTTCTGAAGCTACACAGTGTGAGGATTTAATGCACACGTGCGTTGTGAAATGACCCCCACAATCGAGTAAACATCACCTCACACCGTTGTTGTTGGGGGCTGTTTGGGTGTGGAGAGACTATTTCAGGTTTATTCTCCTAGCAAACCTCAAACATACAATCTGGGATTCACTGCAGACACCACGCTACTGTAGCCCTCCACATTTATTCATCTGGTAACTCACAGTTTGAACCTTTGCACAACATCTCCCTGTTCTCTGGACCTCAGGCCCCGACTTACAATTCTCAAAGGAGACGATTACTCTCATGATAGCAACTTGTTCTCCCTGAAGATGCAGCAGAGAAAGGCGTTTAATATTATTTTTACAATCATTTCCCTTTATTCACAAGCAGGTAAAGCCCAGGCCACTGCCTGACCAGGACCTGGTCCCTCCGCCAGCACCTGGTCTTAAGTGGGGTCTCCAGCTCGGCTCCTCGCTTTCAAGAGTCTCCGAGTCTGCTGGTCCCCAAAACCCTGCAGTTTATCCCCAAACACTAGTGTCTCTGTAAGGACCTTTGGCTCCTGCTGCCACAGCTTCCTCTCTCACGTCACTGGTAACCGTTCACCCCGGGTTTTCATTGGTTTGCTTGGTCTTGGGATGCCCTGGGCTTGGCTGCGTGAGGCAAGTTCCTTCCTGATCTTTGCGTCACTGTCAGCAATGTCATCATCCTCGGCTGAGCACCCAGCAGACAGGGTCATCCGCAAACACAGAGCTTCCGAAAAGTCCCCGGAGCCCCACCTGCCAGGTCACCGCTGGGCCGGGTCAGCGCAGGTTGACCAGCCTAATCCAATCACCAGCCCACGCCGGGTGCTGAAGATTTATCATGAAAAGAAAAGGAATTTGAAAATCCCCAATATTGCTGAAATGATAATATTTTTGAGTGTTGGATTAAATCAAATATACTATTAAATAGATGAAATAACAAATTGGTGAAATTTAATTTCAACTTTAGAAAGGGGAGGCGAGGCAGGAGTTGGAGATGGTGGATTCTGAGGCTGTCCCCAGCCTTCCTCTTGGCCTCCTGGAGTGGGAGGGCCAAGGGCGAGGCTCCATGCTGCCCCCAGGTGGAGCGCTGTGAAGGGAAATGCCAGCAACCCCGTGACAGGTTCCCACGCACGCACATACCAAGCACCTCGGAGTCAGCCATAAACGCAAGGGGGCACTAGTCCAGCCGCCACGGGCAGGGCCCTGAGGACGCGGTGCTGCGCGGGAGAGGCAGCCACAAGCCGCGTGTTGGGAGAGTCCACTTATCTGGAGAGTCCACAAGTGGCAACTCCTTAGACAGAAAGCAGCTGACTGGTGGCCGGGGCTGGGGTGGTCACAGGGAGAGTGGGGGGCTCACCGGCACAGGGCTGCTTCTGGGAGCCATGACAGCGGCTGAGAGCAGACAGCTGGCACGTCTCTGGCTGTGCTGAGAGCCACTGACTTGTGCACTCGAAAGGGGCGAGTTGTATAGCAGGCGAATTCTATATTCTGAAAAACAATCGCTGTGTTCAATAATATGGAAACAGAACTGGCAAAAATAGAAGACTTTCCCCTTCTCCCCAGGTGGGAGAGAGCAGCTGCGGTGGAACAAGGAGTTTTAAGAGCAACTGTGAATATGAGCCAGCAAGTAAAAATAATAATAATAATAATAATAATAATAATAATAAATTTTTTTAAATTTTAAAAGGTGCCCCATTAAACACTCAATTAGAGGTCTTTTAAGAAATCCAACTCAGGGCGTCCCTGGGGGCACAGGGGTTAAAGTTCTCAGCGCTCTCAAGCTATCACCAGCCAGGAGCTGATGTGATCGCAGGCCAGGAGCAACCCACATGGCACAGCAGACCTCTCCTGTCTTCCCGCTGCTTCCCTCAGCAACGTACTTCAGTAGATCTGCCTGTTCTGCTCCCCACTCTGACTCTGGTGAATCTTCTCACCCCCGACACCTCTGGCCTGTACCCCAGTTCTTGTATGCATAAATAAATAAAAAATAAATCTATTTTTATTAATAAATTTTATTTTTATATTCCCCATACAATTGCAACCCCCTTATTTTGACCCCAATCCCTCCCTTCCCCACCCCCCAACCCCCAAAGAATGTCTCTGGTTCTTAGTTTTTTGTTGATTTTGATTTTCACTTTCTTATAGTTATTCATTTTCCTGGTCCCTTATTTAAGTTTTCTAGATTCCTGCTATGAGTGAGACCATCCGGTATTTTTCTTTTTCTTTCTGGCTTAAAAAAATAAATCTTTTTTTAAAAAAGAAAAGAAATCCAACTCATCTTCACGCTGGGTCGAAGATGCCCAGCTGGCGTAGAATCTACAAAATTTCAAGAAAGTTAGTTTCTTTTTCCCTGAGGGCCTCAGCTCCTTCTGCGGTCGCTGCATGTGAGTGCAGATAGCGCTTCAGAACATTCTTTATTTGGAAACTGGAGACCACACCAGACGCCAGCCTGGTACTTTGTGGAACTGAGCTTTTGAGTCGCTGTGCAAGATATTTTCTCATGCTGTCATTGGTCCTATGTTTTGTGATCAGTGTGGGGATTCAAGCTTTGGTTGCAAATCGTGAAAAATAAAGAAATTTTTAAAAATCCAATTTAAAAAAAGATCACTCAAAAAAGACTGACGCTTGCGGAGATGGAGAAGCTTTGTTAACGCAGGATGCCAGGCCAGCGCTGAATGTGCTTTTGTGAAACACAAAGAGGAAGGAGACTGGGCCACTGGGGCTCAGGCTGGTAGCCGTGTCCCTGGTGCAGGGACAGTGCCGGTCACTCCCCTGAGGACACTGTGCCAACTCAGGCAACTCCCTGCACACTGAGGCCAGGAGACAGGGGAGGGGCCCAGAAGCTGGAGGGATGGAGGGACCCAATGACTTGTTCCCATGCAAGTCATTGGGATGGAGGCACCTTCCCCCCAGGTTTCACCCGGGCTCCTCCTGGAGACTTTGTGTGTGTGTCTGTGTGTGTCTACATGTCTGTGCGTAGCTGTATGTGTGTGTGTCTGTGTGTCTCCATGTCTGTGCTTATCTGTATGCGTGTGCGTCTGTGTTTGGTTCCCCTTTTCCATCGGAGAACGTTAGTAAAAAGAGAGAGGAAGTGTTTGGGTGACTCATGCGGTTGCAAATAATTAAAGATCCAGAGAAACCACCAGAGCAGACCCTTTCCATTTTGTTAACAAAGGATGGGGGCCACTTACCCCGGAGGAATCTTCTAGAAACCATGAACCCACATCTTAGAGAAAACCACTCAAAAGGCACACTTTGGTTGTCATGTCAGTGATCAAAAGCCCTTGACTTAGGTGAAACACACCCCTTGCTTTGTTGAAACAGGTCGAGACCTTGCTGAGAGTAAAAGGAATCCCTGAGCTTCTGCACAGCCCGGAGGGAGGCGAGCGAGGCTGAAAGCAGGCCCGGGGCTGCCGGCACCAAGGGTCAGATCTGCAGGCAAGAGCCTCGGCGTTTCTGGCCTGGACAGGACCCGCTGTGACCGGCCCCTCCGCCAGAGCCCACATCACCGGGAGCCCGGCCCTTGGCCCCCGCCCCCCAGGCTTCCTGCTCAGCTGGGCCCCAGCCAGGCCTTTCAGGTTGCCGGCGCGGAGGAGGGGTCGTTTTAGTAATTTTTCTCCACACTCTTAAGATGTTTTAAGTTTTATTGCTCTCTCTTATATAAAATGAACCAGAGTCCAGCAGGACGTGGGTCCTGGGGCCCTGCAGCCTCGGGACCAGGCTCCTCCCCCGTGGTCGAGGCCGAAAGGTCCATTTAGAGCCAGCTCTGCTCCTGGCTCTCTGCCAGCTCGCCCCAGTCCCTGCTCCCTGGCATTCCAGACACTTCCAGGTGCTGAGGGTTACAAAGCTCCCGTGGGCACCACCGGAGCCACATGCTTGCCTGGGGTGACAGGGGCCGCGCCCGCAGAGTCGAGGGGAAAGACGGCAAGAGCAGCAGGCGGAGGGGTCCCCCGGGTCCCTCCAGAACCCCATCCCTGATGGTCCTCAAAGAAGCCTGCGGACTCACAGTGCCCGATGGACACCCAAGGGAGCCCAGCTGCCTCCTCCGCCACCGGGGAGGGGACTTAGAGAGGCCGAGGGCAGGTGCTCGCCCGGAGCCTCCAGGGCGAGGCCGCCTCAGGCTCAGTTCCTTCTCACCACGCTGTACATGGGCTCCAGCTGCGTGGGCCTCTGAGGGGGCAGCCCTCTGGCCGCAGAATCCTGGCTCTGGGCGTCAAACACCACGGTGGTGTAGAGCAGCTCTTCCCGGGGAGCCTCCTGCAGAGAGAGTGTCAGGGAAGAGGGGGGCAGCTCAGGGTCCTGGGGAGCAGGGCCTCCAGTCTTCCCCTCGGCCGGGGCCTCTGTCTCTCATAAGGTCTGTCCATGACCTGCTGCACCCCACCTGATGAGACACGGCACAGAGCACCAGGCACGCTGTGGCCCACGCTGACACCTTGGCCACCGCACTGGGAAAATAGGATGTCGCTGTCCCGGGGCTCATGTCTAAGTCTCAGGCTTAAATCCGCCCCTGTCTGGGGCCTCCCTGGTGGTGCAGGGGTTAAGTCCCAGCGCTATCAAGTGTCAGCAGCCACTGCAGCACAGTTCACTTCTTGGCCAGGGAGCTACCCCCATGGCACAGCAGACCTCTCCTGTCTTGCCCGCTGCTCCCCTCAGCAGTGTATTTCAGTAGATCCACCTGTTCTGCTCCCCACTCTGTCTGGCGTATCCTCTCACCCCCCACACCTCTGGCCTGCGCCCCAGCTCCCGTATGCATAAATAAATAAATCTTAAAAAAAATCCAAATCCATCCCCATCTTCTCCACTACCTCGCCCCTCGCTGGCCTCAGCCCGAGCTCTTCCACCACCAGGCAGATCACAACCTGGGGGCAGCTCTGTGTCTAAGGGTTGACTTAGGGGCCACTGACCAAAACCTGGGAAGCAGCGTTGATACCAAAGAGATGCTGAGACACAAAGAGCAAGAAGTCACAGGCTTTACCGTGGGGTGTGAGGTATACAGTAGGTGCTTAATCAGTGCTGCCCCTTATGGACTGTCAGGATTGTCCCAATAGCACCTCATCTCCCATCCCACCCCCCAGCCACAATGACATTAAGCTCTGGCAAAATCCACACTCACCCCATTTTCTGTGTGGCCCCCAGGGTCCCCATGCCAGGCGGCCTGTGCTTACCACCGTGCTGTACTCCACGTCCACCTGCGGGGGGTGCCTGGGCTCACTCTGAAGGGGCCTCGTCTTCAGCTCCATATTTGCATAGTAGGGCTCACCCTGGTGGGCAGGGGTGCAGGGTCTCAGTGGGGGTCCATGGAGACCCTCTGCCGTCCAGCCCAGAGGGCCCTCTCTCCTTGCCTCTCTGCAGACCTGATCCCTCCTTCTATGTGTGGGTGAAGCCCCTCCCCCACCTCTCTGCTCTGCCTACCCCAATACCCCTCCCTGCTGCCCCCAGGCCCCTCAGGGCAGTGTTTGAATGCCCCCAGGTCAGCATGGGAGGACCCTCCTTCACCGCAGGCTCCTTGGGGAGAGGGACAGGCTGGCAGAGCTGGAGACAGGACCCGGTAACCAGGTCCCCCTGGTATCGTTCTGTGTGCTCCGGGCAAGCATCCCAGTCAACCAGCAATACCCCAACCAGGACTCCCCACCCCAGGGGAGCCCACAGCCTCCTGTGCTCCTGCCTGGCCACCTAACACCCCTCCTGCTGCCCCTGTTCTTACCTGACTGGAGTTCTGCAGTGGCCCTGAATTCTTAGCAGCTAAAGAGAAAAGAGGAGAGTAAGGAGGTGGAACCCCAGAATAATGGCAGAGAGGGGGGGTCCCTAAGATGTGACCCTAAGATTCACCTGCAGGAAAGTATTTCCCCGGAGACGGTGGTCGGGGGACTTACCACTTCAGGCCTGCGGTGTGGAAGGGAGGGAGGGAGGCAGGGAGGGAGTGGGTGGGTACACATATACAGGAACAAGCCGGAAAGCATCCTGGGGAGACCCAAACCAAGCTAGTTCTCAAAATACAAAAAAATACATAAGAGCGTCTGGGTGGGAGAGGGCAGGAAAGGGCCTCTTGAAGGACCTGAGACAAGATGGAAAGTTCTGGCGGTCTCTTGCCCAACAATGGGACGGGACACCACTGAACTGTGAACCCCAAAATGGTGAAGACGGCACATTTTATGTTAGGTGCCTTTTACCACAATAAAAAATGTGACTCCGCAGGCCCCACCCAGATGCACTGACTCAGAAATGCCGGGAAATCTGTGTTTCAACAAGACTTAGAAATAAAAATAACACAAGTGTCCTCGCAGAGGCCAGGCCTGCCTGGGACACGCCATGCGGGAGGATTGGTGGCCCCTGTGGCCCCCTGGCCTGGGGTGTGCCCCTCACGGACAGGAGTCTCGGTAGCCGCGAGGGCTCACAACTCGGGGCTCACAGCCCTGCCTGATGCCCAGCTCCCTGCACCCCGCCTCTGCGCCCGGGGTGGGAGCAGCTGATGCACACACAGTGAGGGTGGCTGTGCAGGTGCCTGGCCAGCAAGCCCACAGCCGGCGGCCCTGGACGCTGCAGGGAGAGACAGTTCTGCCCCCAGAGGACCCTAAGGTCAAAGGCTAGAAGCAGGACCACACCTGAGGGACGCGCCTGCCCATCCCTGTCAGTTGACTCAAGAACCTGCAGCCAAAACACATGGTCCAGGTGCTGCCCCCGCGGCCCCCCACCCCCACCCCAACAGGCCTTCTGAAGGGGAGGGGGCCTGGCCGGTGTAGGGGGGTGGGGGGAGGGAGGAGGCCCCGAGGCTGCTCCCAGGCCAGGGGGAGTCTGTCTGCCGTGGGGCTTTCACTTTAGTGTGGGGAACTTAGATTCTTCCTTGTGCCTTTATTTTTCCAATCTTCGACACAACCCCAAGCTCCTTATCCAAGGGGAGCTTTCTGGGTGAAAGGGCAGGGAGGACACTCGCAGCGGAGGGCGAGGCCGTCAGGCGGGAAAGCCCCAGCTTCCTCGTGACCCAGGCGCAGGGGAAGGAGACAGGACACGGGGTGGGGAGGAGGAAGGGCTTCTGTTCCCAGCACGGGCTTCTGCTCCTCTCAAAACGCCAGTGTGCTGGGGGCTGCACCCCCAGGGGGTGGCTGGAGCTGAGAGTGAGTCCCCCTCCCCCGTCTGCACCCTCTCTTCGTTGGTGCTGCAGCTGTGGAGGGAGCACCCCATCCGCCCCCCTGCAGCCTTTGAAAGGCTTAACTCACTGACAACAAACACCCGAGCCCTCTGCTCGGGAGCCCAGAACCTCAGAGCAGGCAGGGCCCCTGGGCCTTGCTGATCTCAGGCCAAGATCCCTCCAGGGGACCCTGGGCCTCCAGCCAGCAGCCAGAGGCCACGCTCTGTCAGCTACTCGATTTGCCGTTGGTGTCCCCCAGCTCCTGTTCAGAGGGGAGCGGCCACCCCAAGGACAATGCCTGGACTCCCTGGGGGCCCATGGCAACCAAGATGTTAAATAATGCGCTAACCCACAAAATACCTACTGTGTGCTTTCTCCAGCGGGGACCCTGATCATGATGATGCAGGGATGGGGGTTCACCCAGGGGGTGAGCTATTTTGGGGGGTCAGGAAAAGGTCCCAGAAAATGAAGTTTGAGGGCAGCCCTTGGGGCCCATCAGGGTGAGCACAAGGGCACCCCAGGTTTCCAGAGGGAATGCAGATGGGGCAGCAGGTCATGGCTTTTGCCAAATCACAAGAAATTGGAAACGGCTGCTTTCCAGGGCGGGAGGCCAGATTGTGGGGGGCGGTGACTGTCTTGAGGGGCTTGGATTTTTGAGGGTTTTAAATAGAAGAGAGACACAGCCTCCCAGAGCAAACACCCCAGGCTCTAATGTGGGAAATGCCTCTCTCTGGGACACCTCCTCTGGGCCAGCCCTGAGGGTCACCCAGGACCTGCTGCCGAGGGCCTGCATTCAGTGCTTGTTCTGGGGAACAAGGACAGAGCCCCGAACACCACAGGGTGTGGTCAGGCCCTGCCCACCTGGGGACACAGGGGCGCGGGGAGCTAACTCACCTTTGACCTGCCTTGGAATCATCCTCCAGGCCAGCAGCGAGATCCCCAGCAACAAAAGCAGCACAAGGGCTAACAGGGAAAGCAGCACGGGGGACCTGGGGGACACAGATGGGGGGGGGCACGATGCTTTCCCTCCTTGTTCCAATGCCCAGATACGGCCACATTGAAAAAAAAAGGGCATGAAATCTTTTTACACACCTCTCTCTAGCAGTTACCCCCACATCCACACATACTTAAGAAGCCTCCAGAAACTCGTCATTTGGATACAAGAAAATACTCATGTACATTATTTTCCTCCTTTCGTCACACACAAGAGGCACAGAACAAATGCCAGACATCACCTAATATAGCCAGGTATCAAACATTCTGAGAAACACGCAGACCTGGATGATGCAGCCTCACTACATGCCAAGACTAGACATAGAGCCTCCACCATACCGCTTGGGGTCACACCCAAGTTTATAAGATGAGAACATTCAGGATGGGGTTGGTAACACAGAATGCCATCTGTTATCGACTGAAGTGTCGATTGACACAAGTATTGATTGACACATGATGGAGACCCTTCCATGTTGGTTCATAAAGACGCGCCCTGCTATTCTTTATAGCTGCATAGTATTCCAACACATGGACAGACCTAAGTGTTTAACTCTTTCCTCTGAATGGGCAGTTCCCCTAGTCTTTTGCATTTACACACATTGTTGCAAAAATCACCTTACAGCTTTGCCTTCTGGGAGTGGACAAGCACTGCAGATTTACTGGGATTTATCGCACACACTGTTCCAAACCCCTTGCTTGCTTTTGTCTGCTATTTCTTGCCTAATTTGCAACCATGATGCTCTAGTCTTTTTCATAAAGATGTGCTTCCCTCAAATCACAGGCTTCAGACCCACAAACCTAGCTCTGCCCCCATGTGTGTATCTGGAGGCCTGTTTCTGGAAGTGGCATGTCTGAGACCTGAGTTGGACCTTGCTGGATATTAAGGTTGTGGCGTGGGATGACCTGCAGCCTATGGAAGGGTTTCAGGGGGGTCAGAGCATAAGGAATCTCACTGGCCTTTGCTCCTGGCTCTAAATCTTGGGGTTTTGTTAGTAATTGGAGTGATTTGTTATTCATGCGCCCCTTGGGTCACTCCCAAGTTTATGTTCAGAGATGAGATGACTCAGGATGGGTCACAGAAGGACCAACCATGTGACTGGGGACGGGGGTTCTGAGCCAGCCTGACCTTCAGGGAGTGCAGGGCTGGGGTGGCCTATGGTTCAATCATTTGTGTTCATTTAATGATGTCCCAGTAAAAACTCTGGATATGGAAGCTTGGGGAGCCCTTCCAGGGACACATGATGTCCCAGGGGGTGATGTGCCTGGACTCCCCCCAGAGAGGAGACCCTTCCAGACTCTTCCTACGTGTCTACATTTGGCTGGTCCTCGCTCTTGATCCTTCATGATAAAGCTGTCACCATAGTATAGTGCTTTCCTGAGTTCTGTGAGCTATCCATCCAATCATCAAACCCATGGGGGGTCATGGGGACCCCCAAATATATAGCCAGTGAAAGTCATGATGGCCTAGGTACCCCAAAGTGCTCTTGCATCTGAAGTTAGGAGGTTTCGTGGGCCTGAGTTCTTACCCTGTGGGGCCTGTGCTAACTTCAGGGGCTCCGCACAGAAGTAAATTGCAGACACCAGGTAGTGTCAAGTGGGGTGAGGGGAGGTCTCTGAACCCCGGAAATGGCTTATGACTGCTTGGATTTTCTAGGGAAAGAATCTCTAAGTGCTGTCAGATTTCTCTAATGGTTGTGACCCCCCAACATTCAAGAATCCCGAGTTTAGATGAAGAACTGAGACCCTGGAATCCTGTACATCCGGGCTGGAAGCCCAGCTTGTCTCTCGTCCCTACACGCCCCTGGCAGGGCCTGTTACCTCCCTCCCATCACCCCCAGCTTCTCCCCAGCCTGAGTCTTCCCCCGGAGCCAGAACAGGCCCGCAAGGCCTCGCCCAGCCAAGCTAGGGATTCAGCTGCAGGCTCCAACCAGAGCTGGCGCAAGGGAGGCAGGGGTATCTAGCCCACAGCGGTGTGACCCCGCACCCACTGGACCAGGGGAGGAGGGGCCCCTCGTGGGCTCCCCCGAGGAGCAGGCACCTCCAGACATGGGCATCCACCTTACCGAGGGTTCTGCCGGGGCTCCTCCTGGCTAGTGCTGTGGGTGGCCAGGGCAGTGGATGTCTGGGTGGTCATCTGCATTGTGATTGTCAAGTTGGTGGCTGTGGTGGCAACTGCAGTTGGGGTTGACGTTGATGCTGCAGAAACACAAATGAGACCAGGGATCTCCCCCATAAATCTCACAGCCATGCCTTTTTGAGTTGATTTCACAGGAAACGCTCACTTAATAGGGTGCAGGACCCCAGGCCAAAGTCACCCTCCTGGGCCAAGTATTTCCAAACAAGACATGTTTACTGAACCACAGTCCCAAGTTCATTCTGCCCAGGCGGGTCAGGGCCTCTGGAGAGCCCCTAAGTCACCTCCGCACCCCAGTCTCTTCCTCCTCCAGCCACAGCTACTGCGGCTGCCAGACAGACACGTCTACACCGTGAGCTGACTCGCATTTGTTAGAGGGCCCCTGTGCTCAGCACGGTCACCACCCCCTGCCACTCTGCCCAGCTCCTACCTGCCCCCGCAAGCTCCCCATTTCTGTGGGCGGATGCACGCGGGCTCCTCTCTCCTCACAAACTCTGCATCTCACCTCCCCTTCACCTGACAGACACCTCCCCCCTCAGGCTGACAGAGGGGCCAGCTCCTCCAGGAAGCCTTCCTGACCCCTCCCCCACCACACACACACACACACACACACACACACACACACACAGTTTGCTTGAGTCTCTGATCTGATTCCTGCCTCTGCTGTTCCTACCTGAGCCTCCTCAGCGGCCCAGGGCTGGTACAAAGCATGGGGGTGGGAGTTAGGACTCACCTGGGGACACAGACACCTCAACCCGGAACGTGGGGTCGAATGATAAAACTGTGTCAATCCCACAATAGTACGTTCCTGCATCAGCCTCTGTGAGGTTCTCCACGGTCACTGTGAAGGTCAGGTTGGCTGGATGGTCCCTGATGGACACGCGGCCGCGCCTCCCTTCTCTCCCTGACTTGCTGGTCTCCACGATCTTTTTCTGAGAGGTCCAACATGAGTCTCTGCACCAGTACTTGACTTGTCCTGCGTATTTGTCCTTGTAGTGACACGTCACGTTCAGGGATCTGCCCACGAAGCCCTTCACCATGCGGGGGCTGCCCAGACACCAACAGCCTGAAAAACACATGTGCCCCGCTCCTCTGTGGATGGCCGTCTGGGCCTGGGGACATCCCCAAAGTTTCCCATCTCCTGTCAGCCACCCCATCAACCAGATCACACCTGGGGGTCACCCCTGAGATTCTAATCACAGCAACCCCTTCCTCCAGACCCCACCCCTCTTTACTGCTGCCCATCCCCTCACCCACCAGGGACTCCCACCTCCAAACCATAAGAACCCACCCCAGCACCCTTCTCCCCCTCAAGGAGCAGGTTCTCCCCAGCCGTGAGCAACTCAGACATCAGAAGCAGGAACACATTCAGTCTGTGCCCTCCCGGGGACACGAGCAGGGACCCCAGCTCCCTAACACTGCACCCCACCCCCGCTACCTTTGGTGCATCCTGGGGCTTCCTCAGTCCCCCCAGCACCTGTGGCTCCTCCCCCGGGGAAGCTCATATTCTGCGTATCATGCTTCGGGGTTTGTCTGCCATTTCCCCAGACAGTTCCCACAGCCCGAGCTGCAGAGCAAGGGGTGAAGCTGACATCACCAGGCAGAGGACATCCCCCCACTGTCTGTGCTCCCCTTATAAATCTGTGATCAACCCCAAAAGGGTGGCCTCCAGTTCAGCCCACCCAAAACTGCTAGTCCCTGTCCTGGGACCCCTCAGGATCTCCTCTTAGACCTTGTGAGGCAGCAGCGAAGGCCTCCCTAATCCTGCCCTAGGTGTGATGTTTATTGAGATGCTTGGTGACGGCCAAGGGGGATCAGGTGGACAGGGCACCCGAGGAGTCTGCGTTTGTGTCCCAGTTCAGATGTGAGTTCTGAGGCAAGTTGCTTAACCTCTGTGAGCTTCAGATGTCTCATCTGTAGAGTGGTGATAACTGGCAGGCCCCGCATGACATTGCAGCATTGAATGAGATAAGGAGTATAAATAACATTAGGTTGAATCACATGAAATTGCTGATAGTCACCTGTTTTTGAGCAAGAAATCCAGAATTTCATAAGATTCCACCTAATGAAAACAGATAATCTCCGTCTAGCCAAATTAAGAAATGAAAATAAAAAATAATCAGAGAGATGCAGGAAATTAAAGTCAAGATGGCACTTTGCAGAAATTCCCCACAGATACACCGATAAATCTGGGTGAACATGTTATATTCTAGAACAATGCAGACCACTAAAACTGACACCTGTCAAGTGCTGAATAAAGAAATGTGCATTCGAGCATCCTTCATCCAAGAGGCTGCTCCTGCGTCGTCCCCTCGGCTGTGAACTATCATCTCTCTCTGCCTGGGCCATGGCCCCACCGCCCCCACCACGACGCCCCATAATCCTGGCGTTCTGCAGTTCTGACTTCTTTGCCCTCCCTCCCCCTTCTTTGCTCATCAGCTCTTAGCGACAATAAAAACACACACACCCCTTTTGAGGACATCCCACAGCTGAAGTCTCGGGTGAAAAAAATGTCACCATTTCTCCCAAAATGCTCTGCACCTGTGACAGTCCCTGGAACTCAGAGATGGGGAGGGGGCTTCCCTGGTGACTGGGCCAACAGCGCCTCTGCGGGACCCTCCCAATTCCTGACCATCACTGCCCTCCTCTCCCTGCTCACCAGCAACTGGGGGGACTGGAGGCGCCAGGCCGGGTCCATTGCTCTGCACCTCACCTGCCAGGATGTCCCCCTGTCCCCAAGGTTGACTGAGGGTCACAAAGTCTCACCCCATGAAACCTCAGAGAAAGCTGGGAGGGAACATGCGTGTACCCACCCCACCAGGAGGTCAGAGGGAGGAAAACCAGGGCCGGGGAGCTGGGAAACAGGACAGGGGAGCTGGCCCTGCACGGGGAGCCGACTTCTTCTGGGAGACGCAATAAAACAGGGTGCCGGTGGGCGTACAAATCAAGAAAAAAAAGGAGACACACACTGTTAAAACAAAAATAACCAGGTTGATTTGCAAGTCTCTGCAAATAAATCTGTAAACTTGGATGAGACTGTTGATTTTCTAGAAAATGTAAATTACCAGAGTTGGCCCAGGATAGACCTTTTCTGCATGCAGTTGACAGCCCCATGCAGGAGCCCACGGCCAGCGAGGACCAGGTGCGGTGACCCAGGGTCATTTCTCAATGTGGGGTTCACACTGTCCTCACTGCAAATACGCATGATATTTATTAGTCAGTCACACCTCGATAAAGCTGGGGGAGATGAAGATAAAAGTTCTTTCCCTTCCCCAAAGCGGAGCAAGCCAGAAAGGGAATCATCTCTGTAGTGATGGAGAAGCACCCAGCATCTGATGTCATCGTGTTAAAATGTACTCCACAGGCAGTCGCAGCCATGGCCCCCCAACTTCCCTGGCTGCACCCCTTTACTTCCTTTCCCCAAAGCAGAGCAAGCAAGTTGGACTAGTTAGCTCTGTCGGCCCTCAAGCAATAACCAAGTCCAATTTCACGAAAGCATTTGCAAAGCATATAGGAACGCGGGAGCCTCCCTGGTCCTTTTCGCAGTCAGCACAACACACAGAGCTTAAAATGTGGCCGATGAAAAAAAGAGAAAATAAAACATAAATAAATTCATAAAAAGGAGCCAAATCTCATACAATTCCCCACCTCAATGGCTCAGAGGAGAAAGGGAACCGTCTCCGTAGTGATGGAGAAGCACCCAGCGTCTGATGTCATCAGGTTCAAAGGTGCTCCACAGGCAGTCACAGCCATGGCCCCCCAACTTCCCTGGCTGCACCCCTTTACTTCAGACACCTGCCCCATCAGATGGGTGACCGCTGCCTCCTAGGTGTGGGCATCCGTGGCTGACCAGCCATGGTGGACGAGAGGAGGAGACGGGAGAAGCATTTTTCTTCCAGACCCCCAGGTGCTGGTGAGCAGGGCAAGGTGGGGTGGTGATGGTTGGGAATTGGGGGGTCCCACAGAAACACTTCTCTCACGACACTGTGAGACCCCACACAGACAGCTGTGGAAAGCAAGAGCCCCAGCAGCCGGGCTCCAGCGCAGGAAGCCGGGCTCAGATGCACACCCCAAAATTCAGTGTTTCCCTAGAGACAACTGTTAGCCAATGAGAGAAAACATGCAATTTATAAGCAGAACTACAAAAAGATTAGAACTATCTAGGAAGAGACCAAACCAGAGGACAGCAGCTGTTTGAGAGCAGCTCCAAGCCCTCCGGGCACAGAGGTGGATCTGGAAGGTGGCCCTGCCCGCCATCCCTGCCCTGTGACCATCTCCCTTCCTTGGAGGCGTAGCCCTCAGCCATGGCACCCCAAGTCTCCCTGGCTGTACCCCTCCATGTCCTGAGACCATGGCCTGCTCCTATCCAGCACACCCTGAACCCGGGGGGACCCCAGGGCGCCTCCTTTCAAAACACAGGCCCTTGGGGCATCAGCACCACCACCCAGCTGTCTTCTTCCCGTCCTTCATCCTAAGGCCTCTGGCCAAGGCCCTGCCCCACACCCACGCGGGTGCCCACAGCCTAGCGTGGCTCATCCCAGGTCAAGTGGCTGCAGAGGAGGGTACGGTCCTTCCATCTCTCCATCCTACCATCCCCCATTCTGAGTGCTGTATGGTGCCCAGACTTGGGGTGCCTCTCCTGCCGCCCCCCTTAGCTCTGCCCCTCCTAGGTAGAATCTGAGTCAGCGCAGCCCCTCACCTGGGACGCAGAGAAGCAGCAGCGCTCGGGGCAGCCATGTGGCCTGGCTCCTCGGGGCCATCTCTCCGGCAGCTCCGGCCGGGCCTGTGCCCGCTGAGGAGGAAGAAGCCGAAACCGAGGCTCCTGCTTCTGCTTTTCTCCGGGCCTCGCTGCTTCCTTGTTCAGCTTCTTTTTGGTTTTGTTCCTAGAGCTGGTGAGAAAAGGAAGGCCGCTGAGGGAACGCGGCAGGGACTGGCTGAGACACCCCCAGAACCCCGCGCTCTCTTGCGGAGCCCCGAGCCCCTCATTCCGTCATGACCAGCAGGTTGTGCCTCACCCTTCTCGCCCCTATGACCGCAGGCCAGGTTTCCTCAGAGTGGGCCCAGTGACTCACTCCCTTCCTGTGGTCGGGGCGAGCATGTGAGAGCCGGGGCCACACCCACAGAGATGCTGCTGAGGCTCCCCTGGGGACCCCCCGCTTGAGGCCTCGACCCCCAAGTGGACACAGTGACCCTGGAGTCCCTGAATGGCTCCTGGTCTTGGACACATGTTCTCAACTTGGCCAGAAGCTTCTTAGGTCGTGACCTTTCCCGTGTGGCCACCACTGGCCCCACCTTGGGGTGCTGCTCCTTGAGGGCTCTGTCCCCCATGATTGCTCCCTGAACTTGGAGGAAGTGTCTCCACCCTGGAGAGAGGCCAGGCCTGAGACCTGGTCTGGACGGCCAGGGCTGGGAAGCTTAACTGGGGCACCTGGTTTAGGGATAGGGGAGCATCTACCTGGGGTCTGCCCTGGTTCTACCTGGTTCTACCTGCTCTACAGAGCAGGCCCAGGCTGCCAGCGAAGGGACCTCTCCTTGCTTGATCCAGGCAGATCTCAGACTATGTGCGCACACATACACAAACACACACACACGAAGCCCTTGTGACATGGGCTCACACAGAATAGCCACAGAGCACAGGGGGAGCCTGTGGTGCTCCAAGCCCCCAGGATGCCCCGCCTGCCCCGCCTGCCCCGCCTGCCCCGCCTGCCCTGCCTGCTCCTTCAAGACTTTCACTTTCCTCCTTCCTTCTGGGCACAGAACCACTTTCCTGGGAGGGTGCAAGGAAACCAAGGAGCAGTACCCGTTCTCCTTCTAGAAGGTTCCAGCACCTTGGTAGGCCTTGGAAGACTCTCTATGGCCTCATAGACTGACTAAGGCTCATGCAGATCCAAGAACAAGATCTGGAACAGGGTGTGGAAGGCAGGAGGGGTCGTCCTCTAATGATTGTCAAACTTCCCCAGCAAGATAGGTTTTTTTTTTTTTTTTTTTAAGATTTATTTTATTTACACAAGAGCCGGGGTACAGGCTAGATACGTGGGAGGGTGAGAGGATTCCCCAGAGAGAGAGCGGGGAACAAAACAGGCAGACTGACGAAATACACTGCTAAGGGGAGCAGCGGGCGAGACAGGAGAGGTCTGCTTGCCATGTGGGTGGCTCCGAGGCCGGCCAGGATCGAACCCGCACTGCAGAGGCTGCGGACAGCTTCACAACGCTGCGCTCAACCGCCTGCGCCACCGGGGAGGCCCAGCAATGTAGGTTTTCCAACTGACTGTGGAAAGCACCTCTACATCGGGAATGTCAAGGTAAGAGGGGGCTGCACCAGACTGAGAACCTGGCGTGACCTTGAACACAAGCCGTAAAGTGGCTCCTGTGCAATGTCAACACCGTCTCATCTGTGGGACTGAGTCCTCTTCCTCTGAGCTCGAAGCACCTGGGGCCCGCGGGAGCCCCTGAGGGGCCAGGAGGCTGAGAGCTCCAGGCTCCCAGGACCCAGATGCAGGAAGTGGCTGCGTGACTGTAGCTGGCGGGAGGAAGAGGGACAGGGCGCTCCGGCTAGGGGAGGGGGCTGCCGAGATGCACCAAGCCCCCGCTGGGTGCAGGTGCCTTGGCCATGGTTGAATGCACGCAATTTGGGGTTAATAACTGCAGATCCCTCAGGCAACTGGGAAGTAGTTGGGCCGGGCAGCTGTGACAGGAGACCACAGCGGGTGGGAGCACCGGGTTTCCCTTCCCCAGGAGTCTGGGTGGGACCGCATCGTGGTCTGACCCCACCCAGGTCTGGCCTGGGCTGCCCCTCGGCTAGATTCCCCGCAACTGCCCATCTCTGGGAGAGCCACCCCAGCCTGGCTGGGTCCTCCAGGCCCGAGGTATCTTGAACCCCCCATGTGCCTGTGCAGAACATGCTCCTGCTTGGTCCTGGGGGTGCTCTGGTCGTGACAGAGAGCAAGAGGAAGCTGCGAGCCAACAGATGTACAGTGGCCCCAGCCCAAGGATGGGGTTCCCACTGTCCCCCAGGGGTTCCTGAGGCTTCCTGTCCACGGCTCCTTGAGGACTCTGTCCCCCATGGTTGGTGCCTGGAGCTGGAGGGAATGTCTCCACCCTGAAGAGAGGCCAGGCCTGAGACCGGGTCTGGATGGCCAGGGGTTGTGAAGCTCAACTGGGGCACCTGGTTTAGGGATAGGGGAGCATCCACCTGGGGTCTGCCCTGGTTCTACCTGAAGAGATGGTCTTGGGGTGTTCTCAGTATCACAATCCCAAGAACTGGGGTGAAACCAGCATGGGTTTGAAAACAGAGCTACCAGATTGGAGCTCCTGTGGGTGCCAGTCAGGACCGAACTCCAGCGCCAAAGGGTCCCTGATGACCAGGCTTGAAGGCCAGCCTCGGTGTAGCTCAGTTGGGCACACGGTGCAGGTCGACTGGCACCAATCAAATAGCTGAGACTGTAAATGGGCCGATCTGATCGGAGCCCCCGTGAGTGCCAATCAACTAAAAAGGACCAACCAGCCTTGAGAGGTAGAAACCCTGGGGAGCATATAAGTCAGGCTCCGGCAGACTCGTTGGACTCCCCTGAGAAAATCTTGGTTGAGCTGTAACACTGGGCCCTGTCCTCTGGACCGTTCCTTCACGGACCTGCCCTCCGACTGCTGACATCACCTGCTGAATGACCCATCAGCCCTGTGCTGGGTGTCCCTAAAAGAGCTGTTGCTGCTGGCTTTGTGCCCAGCGTCTGTGAGAGCTGGCACCTGCCTCTGACACCTGCGGCACCACCCCTGGTGCTGTTGCTTTTTGTACTGACCAGCCGCATGTCTAGTGCTGCCCAGCTTGGCCTTCAGATTGCTGTAGCTGACTGCCGTGGTGCCACCTCCACAGCGACCTTCAACCTTGCAGACCTTTGACCTTTGAGACCTTCTCCTCTGATCTCTGCTTCAAAGCGCCGCCTGAGCATCCCGCTGCTGTCTCTGGTCCTGCCTCGAGCTCTGTCCTCTCTCCCCACTTCTTTCTCTCTCCCTCCCCTTTGCAAATAAGCCCTGTCACAATTGGGCCCTGAGTCATGTCCTGCAGCTGCAGCTAGAAGTACATGTTGACTCTTTGAGGAGGTTCCCTCAGCCCCAGCCTCCCCTGCTCCCCTGCTCTCCTGCTCTCTGCACTCAGCCAGCTCCTCGGAAGATGCCGGGCCTTCCTGGGTCCCCGTGCACCCTGTCCCACGTCCCTGGCCCCTGCAATTCCTCTTTCTGTATTTGCTCCCCTGCATGGCGGTGCCCTGCCCACCCTCCCTTTCATGGTAAGACTAAGACTTCGTGAAAGCAGAGACCGGGGGACCCCCAGGGCCACGGGCTCATATGCCTCCCGGGGAAGGGACTGGGAATTGGGGTGGACGCAGAGGAGGCCAGGACGGAGCGTCTCCCCTACCCCAGGCCAGCCCCGGCCCAGGCGGAGGCTCGCGAGTCTGAGCAAACCGCCCGCCCGAGCCCGCACACAGGAGGCTCACGGCCTGGCCTGCCCTGCGCGCGGGGCGGGAAGCGGCGGTGCGATCAGGGTGCCCACTGGCCGGCGCACAGAGAGGGCTGTGTCCGAGGCACGGCCCCCTCCCAGCACTGGCCGGGGTGTCTCTGGGTCACGGGCCGTGGCCTGGGGCCCTTCCAGGGAGCGGGACTGTGGGTGCAGGGTGGGCGCGGGAAGCTGGCCTCGGAGAACCCCCAATGCTGACAAGGGGACAGCACGGCAGGGACGGGCCGGCCTTTGTGTCCTGGCTCCGAACCCCTGGGGCAGCACGGGCTTCCTCACGTGGCGGCGTCCCCGGCTGTGAAACGGGGGCAGCTCCACCCAGGTGCCCAGACACCAGGAGGCTCCCAGGGAGCCTGGAGATGGGAACCCGCAAGTATCACACAGGTGTGCATCCTGAACCCCGGTCATGGCCACGCCACGCCCGCACCTCACAACACACAGAGTCGAGAGACCTCACCGGCAGGAACCCACGGCCTTCAGTGTGAAACCCCCAACTCCTGCGGCCCCTACCCCAGCCCCCAAGGGTGGCCACACAGGGCAGGGAGAGCGTGGCTTGCGGAGGCCGTGGGAGATGCCAAACTGCTGACCCAGGCACGTGGGGAAGAGGATGTTGGGTAACTGGGGCCGTGAGAACCCACACTGCGGGACTTGCCATGGAGACGTTCCCCGGCTCCCCACCCCAACCCCTCTTGCTTCCTCCTTCCTCACCGGAAGAAGCGAGGCCGGAGGAGTATTTTTTGTAGAAAGACTCAGACGAATACAAAGCAGCCGCCTGCGCGGCCGGGGCTGACGTCGGGCAGGAGGAGCCTGCAAGCGGTTGTTTAAACCTCTGTGTTTGACTTCCAGCTTGAATTTGTTGCTTTCCAACACTCTAGGGGATGACCCCATACTCAGGGCCTTGGCAAGGGCAGGAGCTCACACACACACACACACACACACACACACACACACGCACGCGCGCATGCGCGCGCACACACTCGGCAAGGAAGCTGGACCCTTGCCCTACTGTTAAAAGATTTAGAATAATATGTGTTGGGGTCAGGCGTGGGACTATGGGGGCGCAGCAGGAAAATCCCATAAACTCTTGAACTTTAAAGACAAATCCATTTAAAAATCACGTCAGCTAAATCTGAGAAATGTTCTGGTGGTGGTTGTGCAACTCTGTATATTTATAAAAAATACTGAATTATGCAAGTGAAATGTATGGGTGTGAGTTATACTTAAGCCTCTAAAATGCAAATTTGAAAACCATTGTGAATAGGACCCAAGACCCTCTCTGCACCCACAACCCCGTCCTGACCCCGCGCGCCTTCTGGCTTCTTACCCCTCCTTGTCTCCTGGCGCCAGACCCTTCCCGGCACCGACTACAGTTGGCATTTCAGACCCCTCGCTCCTTCCCGCACAGTGAGAGGAAACAGGCCAGGTGCCAACGAACCAAGTACCCACGGGGTAAAGACCCCTGCAGAGGGGGGTGAAGAGCAGGGGGCATGCTGCCTGACCCCTGCGCTGAAGGCCGGACCCACCTACTGGCCTGGCCTGGCCCAGGTGT